CGAGAGGCCTAGGGGGGGCACTAAACAGAGTGGATGCCTGGTCAGAACTGCCTTTTCTAGAAGCTTGCTATGGCAGCAAGTGTGAATGGAGTAGAGGGGCAACAGGCTCTTATATGGGCAAAGGCCACAAACAGGCAATTCTCAGACATGGAAAACATGAGAGCCAAGGCTCAAGGGAGACGAGCTAAACCTCACTGTAAACAGGAAAGTGCAAATCAGAACCACAATGGCATCAACATGAGAAAGGATAAAAACCATATGATCATTTCAATAGATGCAGAAAAAGCATTTGACCAAGTACAGCATCCATTCATGATAAAAACCCTCAGCAAAGTTGGGTTAGGGGGAAACATACCTCAACGTAATAAAGGTCTGAGATAAAGAAAACCCAGAGCTAACTCATATCCATTGGGGAAAAATTGATAGCTTTTCCCCTAAAGTCAGTAACAAGATAAAGATGTCAAGTCTCTCTGTTTTTTTCAACATGGTACTGCAAGTCCTAGCCTCACCAATCAGACAACAAAAATAAATAAAAGGCATATAAATAAAAAGGAAGAAGTAGAACTTTCACTATTTGCAAATGACTTGATAATGTATGTAGAAAACCCTAGATACTCCACCAAACAATTGCTAAACCTGATAAATGAATTCAGTAAAGTTGCAGGATACAAAATCAATGTGCAGAAATCTGTTGTATTTCTGTACACTAATAATTAAGCAGCAGAAAAAGAAATTAAGAAAATAACCCCATTTATAATTGTAGCACATATAATAAAATATCTAGGAATAAACTTAACCAAAGAGGTGAAAGACCTGTACTCTGAAACTATAAAACATTGATGAAAGGCATTAAAGATGAAACAAAGAAATGGAAACATATTCCACACTCATGAACTGGAAGAACAAATGTCGTTAAAACATCTATAGTACTTAAAGCAATCTACAGATTTCATGTAATCTCTATCAAAATGCCAGTAACATTTTTCACAAAACTGGAACAATCCTAAAATTTATATAGAACCACAGAAGACCCCAAATAGCCAAAGCAATCTTGAAAAAGAAGAACAAAGCTGGAGACATCACAATTCTAGACTTTAAGTTCTATTACAAAGTTGTAGTCACCAAGACAATATGGTACGGGCACAAAAATAGACACTTAGATTAATAGAACAGAATAGAAAGCCCAGAAATAAACCCACAATTATATAGTCAATTAATCTTTGACAAAGGAGGAAAGAATATGCAATGGGAAAAAGTCTTTTCAACAAGGAGTGTTGGGAAAAGTGGACAGCAATATGCAAAAGAATGAAACTGGATCACTTTCTTACACCACACGCAAAAATAAACTCAGAATGGATTAAAGACCTAAGTGTGAGACCTGAAACCATAAAAATCCTAGAAGAGAGCTTAGGCAGTAATTTCTCTGACATCAGCCATAGTAACATGGCTTCTAGATATGTTTCCTAAGGCAAGGGAAACAAAAGCAAAAATAAACTATTAGGACTACACCAAAATAAAAACTTCTGCACAGTAAAGGAAATTATCAACAAAACTAAAAGGCAACCAACCTATGGAGTGGGAGAAGATATTTGCAAATGGCATATATGATAAAAGGTTAGTGTTATGAAACTCACCCAAAAAACAAATACTTCAATTTTAAATATGAGCAGAAGACATGAACAAACATTTCTTCCAAAGAAGACGTGCAGATGGGGTGCTGGGTGGCTCAGTTGGCTAAGCATCTGCCTTCGACTCAGGTTGTGATCTTGGGGTCCTGGGATCAAGCCCCATTATTTACAATAGCCAAATTATGGAAGCAGCCTAAGTGTCCATCAATAAATGGATAAAAAAATAAAAAAAGTAAATGAATAATAAAGAAGTGATCTAAATCTATCTATCTATCTATCTATCTATCTATCTATCTATGGAATGGAATATTACTCATTAAGAGGCTGATTTTTTTCTTGTCATTTTCCTGTAGTTCCTGTGTTTTCTATAACGAGTATGTATTTCTTTAATAATGCAATGTACATGCACATTATTTTCCAAAGAGAAATCAATCTTAGGAGTCTTCAGTGGATGTGTACATTGTGGTTATAGGAGGTAGGGCACAACTCCCCTGCTCAGGAGAAGGAAGGCAGAGCAGTAAATTCTGGGGTGGCAGCTACTCCAGCCATCAGGTGACATTTTTCACTGCATTGTTATTTGGGTTCAGCTTCAGTTGCCTGTTTATATTTCCCCAGGGAATATGATAGTCTTGCATCGTTTATCACATTTCTTGAAGAGCCCATTTTAGCGAGGAGAACAGGGAATACAAAGACAAAGCTACACCCCAGGCCAGCACCACACACACAGCTGGATTTTGTACAGTACAGCAACCGTGAGCCACGTGTGGCTATTTAAATTTGTAAGTAAATTAAATAAAATTCAGAGTTCAATTCCTCAGTCACAGGAGCCACATTTCAAATGCTCAATAGCCACATATGTGTAATGACTACTCTCTTGGACAGAGCAGAACATTTCTGTCATCATGGAAACTTCTATTGGTCAGTTGCAATGGAGAAAAATAACTGGCTTTCCCATATACAAAGATGGCTCAACAGTAAAAAAAATTAGAAATGCACACTAACAGATTAAAGGGGGAGATGTGATCATCTTAATAGATGAAGACAAAACAGGGAATTCAAAATTTGTTCGTGCAAAAATAAATAACACCAATAATAAACCATGGGAGTGTGTAAAGAAAAAAAAAGAACTAATTCATAATAACAATAAAATTGTAAGGTACCCAGGAATGATTTCAATAAGATGTGCACGCATACCTTTGTAGAGAAAAAGATAAATCACTACTACGGAAAATAAAGACAACCTAAATAAATCTACAGATATGCCATATTCTTAGCAAGACTCAGTATCACCAAGATGTCAATCCTCCACAAATTAGTACATAAACTCAAAAAAAGTATAATAAAATTTCTAGTAAGATGTTTTGTAGAACTTGACCAACTGACCCTGACATCACCCAGAACAATTGAGGACCAAATATAGCCAAGACTTTCCTTTAAAAAAAAAAGGTAGAGAAGAAACCTGCCCTACCAGTCATCCGTTCATATACTCATTCAACAAATACTGAGCACCCACTGTGTACTCTAGCTTAAAGAGCCGGGAACATAGCAGTGAACAAAACAGTAATTCCTGCCCTCATAGGGCTTGGTCGCATTCCGAATATGAAGACCTGCTCTAAAGCTATAATAATGAAGATGCTGTGGTGTTAGCACAGGCACAGATGAACAGAATAGGGAGACCAGGGAAAAAAAAACTTGACATAGGATGGGGTTTGAGAGAGGAACACATTGTCCACATGGAGAAAAGGATTTCTCACCACCCACAAAAAACAACTATAGGTGAAGACCTAAAGGGAGATGAAAAACTTTAAAACTTTTAGAAGAAAATACAGAAGAATATCTTTGTAACCTTAGGATAGGGAAATACTTCTTATAAGACATGAAAAGCACAATCTACTAAGAAATTGTTGATTATCTGGCTACATAAAAATCTACAACTTCTGTTCAACAGAAGTCCCTAGAGTTTAAATAAACCACAAACTGGGAGAAGATATTTCCAAAGCATATAACTGGGGAAAAAATAATTACCTGGTATATATAAGAGATTGCTCCATATCAATAGGAAAAAGGTAATACATTAGAAGATGAGCAAACGATATGAATAGGCAATTCACAGAATAGGAAACTCAAAAAGCCAACAAACACCGAAAGAGAGAAATTAGGAAAATGCAAATCAAAACAACAATATGGTTAAAATCAGATTGGCAAGGAAAAGAACAAAACTAACGAAAGGGACAAAAGAAATATGTTACGAATGTGGCCAAAAAGAAGTCCACAAACCATTGGTTAAAAGTGGAAGTGAGTTCAACCACACAACACACAATGAGGCAGAATTTGAGAATTGAAGTGCATGTTCCCTTGGCCTTTGCACATGAGCACAGAGACTTGTGTAAGAACAGCCATTGCACAGAAAGTGGATTAGTGGCTGCCTAGGCTAGGCTGGGAATTAACTGAAAATGGGTGTTATAGAAGTGACAGAAATGATAGGGAGTGATAGAACTGTTTGAAACTTGACTGTGGTGATGGTTGAACAACTGTTAATTTACTAAGAAAAAAAATCACTGAATTGTATACACTTTAAAGGGAACACACCATATAGAATGTAACTTATACCTAAATAAAGTTGTTTTTAAGTTATCATTTCAGGGTGCCTGGGTGGTTCAGTCGATTAAACGTCTGCCTTTAGCTCAGGTCATGATCAGATCTTAGGATCGAGTCCTGCATAGGGCTCCCTGCTCTGTGAGGAGTCTGCTTCTCTCTCTCCCTTTGCCCCTCCTCCTTGCTTGCTCGCTCTCTATCTCTCTCACTCTCTCAAAGAAATAAATACAATCTTTAAAAAAATAGTCATTTCAGCCTTATCTGCAATGATAACAAAATTGAAAATGGCCAATAATTTTATAAATTGACTGTTGTAGAGACCCAATCGAATACAATGCAGTGGTTCAAAAAAATAAATAAATCAGAGCTACTTACAGTGACAGGAATAAACCTCCAAAATGAAAAGTAATGGCCAAGTGGTAAAAGCCACTTGCCAAATGATATAACGGAAATGGAAATATTTACATAAAATTTGAAAACATACAGAAAGATGCTATATAATGTTTATGAATACATATAAATATAGTGATGGCATTCAAATATGCACAAGAATGGTAAACACCAAATTCAAGATAATGACGGTCTCTGGAGAGCAAGGAATGAGAATACAACTGCATCTGCAATGTTTCATTTCTTTAGAATAAAGCAAAACACTGAAGCAAACATGGCAATTCAGGAGTTTGTTATAATGTTCTCTGTAATTTTCCTGTACATTCGACATAGTTTATTACGAATTTAAAAATACAACATAAAAATACATTTTATTTGTCCTTCCAGCTGCTCCAAATTCTGGCTGCTTTTACATCTTCCATCACAAAGAGCTGTAACTTCCAGGGTGCAGAGTATTGGTAAGTGTTCCCTATATTTTATAATCATCGTCAACTGTTGACTGGTTACTGGCCTCAGGATGGGCACTGCTAGGCTTTTGGGAACCCATGATGATGCAGAAAGCCAAAGGCGGATCAAGTTGGAGCCCGGTCAACGGTCTGAGCCCAGGTCAATTCAAGTTGGTACAACAGTGACACCTAATGGTCAGTGTCATACTTGCGTGCGCTCTTGGGCGAACACTAAGTCGGGTTCTTTGGCTTTTCTTCTAGAGGCTCTTTTTTTTTTTTTTTTTTTTTTTTTCCAGAAGCCCCATGGTCCCTGTAGCCCCCTCTTCTAGAGGCTCTTACAACAAAGGATTCAGACTGGAGAATTTTTGTATTTGATCAGCTCCCTTCTTAGTTGGCTAAAGTCAGTGAACACCCCCCAGCACCTAAACTAGTTCAGAGATTGTGACTTTTCCTCCTCTTGCCGGAGTGAAGGGGCCAAGCTCTGTGTCCTGAAGTTTGCTCTCAGCATCCTGGGCTGCGCCAAGGCAGTGTCTGAAGCCCTTTAAAAATAATGCCTCACACCCACATTTGAAGTGAGAGTTCAGGCCAAGACATATTTCTGCAATTGGTGTAGGAAAGACGACATGGGGTGAGAACACGGTGCCCTTTCCCATTTCAAAGCAAGTTGGTGAGTGAAGCTACATAGATGTGTGGGGTTAGTGTCTAAAACGCACAGTATCTCAGGACCACACAGTATCTCAGACCACACACTTTAGAGTTTATGTTCCAGTTCTCCACAGGCATTTGGATGTCTTGAAATGTCCGCGAATGTACATGTGATGGAGAACAAAACTGACTCAGTAATGCCTGTATTTCTGATGTTCCACAATGATGAGTGCAATGAATACCCGTTTCCCAAGAAGGCAACACAGGAGAGGAGCAGACCTTTCTCCCCACAGCCATTCATAAATTCACTAAATCGGCACAACAACAAGCCACTAACAAAACTGACCACTTCCGTACTTCAACATTGAAATCATCACCGGCCTGGGTCTTTCAAAACTACCCCAAATCAACATCTTCAGTTGAAAGCTGTTAGCTGAGTGGTGCAGGGAGGGAGCTACACTCATCAGTATATTAGGGTTCTTCAAACAAAGAACCGACAAGAGAGAGGTTATACAGAATTGGCTTGCGTAGGTATGGTGAAGAGCAGGCCCCAGGATCTGCAGCTGAGTTGACAAGCCCAGGAGAACTGATGGTTTAGTGCCAGTCTGAAGGCTGTCAGCAGCAAGAACTCTCTGTAAGTCAGGGGAGGGTCAGCCCTTTGGGGCTATTTAGGCCTTCGCCTGATTAAGTGAGGCCCACGCACATTGGAGAGGGCGATCCACTTTACTCAGTCTACCAATTCTCACCCAGAAACATCTTCACAGACACACCCAGAATAATATTTAACCAAATATCTGGGGACCCTGTGGCCCAGTCAAGTTGACGTATTAAACTAAGCATCACAATAAGTTACAGTTTACCACCTCAAGGGTGAGGATGAGATGAGGGATGCAAGTGCCTGCTGGGTTCCACAGGTGGCCCTATGCCAGAGATCCTCTTCCCTCCCTTCTCCAGGAGTTGTTTCAGTCATTGTGGATATTGGAGCAGGAGAGTGAAAGCTAATTCTTGGAGACTTTCAGCCTGGCCATTTGCTTTCAGGGATCTGTGAGGAATCAGAGTGAACAGTTGTCCGATTTGTCCCAGCTCAAAGGGTTTCCTATGTTAATATTGGGATAGCCCTGGGCAGCCAGGATGAGTCACCCAAGGACCCCTACCCCATCTGAAGGGCTTCAAGTGACTCCAGTTTCTTTGCCTGCCTCAATTTTGATACCAAGTCAGCCCTGGACCCACAAAAGTGCCCAGCGGTCTCGTGGCTAAATGGCTCTGTGGCCAGTCAGCTGCAACTTTGAATCCCAGATGTTTTCTCAGTGGTGATACACTGATGGATGTTTGGCAGCTTCTTTGGGTCACTGCTTTTGCAACCCTTGGTGTGGTGGTGGCAACCTTGTCGTGGGGCACACCCTCTTGAGTTCCTAGATGCCTGCCTACTGCTTGCTCGGCCCAGAAAGCCAAGAGGCAGTTGAATCCCGACCAGTCTCCCGGTCCCACTCATTGGCTCCCCCTACGCACCCCCCCCCCACTCCTGCTGTGGCTTCAGCAAAAGCCCCGAGATGTCACACCTGGAAAGAGTCACGGAGTTTTCATTGCCAAATATTCTGATGTGGCCCTCGCCCCACTGAGAGGTGCAGGAGATCCCAACTTTACTAAGATCAGCTTTGGGTTTTTTTCCTTTTTCCCTTTTATTTTTGCTTTTGTAACAATTTTATTGAGGTATGATTCACACACCATAGAGTTCACCCATTTAAAGTGTACAATTCAGTGCTTTTTTAGTACAGAGTTGTACCCCAATGCCACAATCAAACTTAGAACATTTCCACCATCCATACCTTTAGCTGTCGTACCCTACTTCTCCCAACAAGCCCCGGCCTCAGGACACCATGAATTTTTCTGTCTCTGTAGAAATGGCTTCTGTTACCTGTCTATTTTAATGTCTGGGGAAACTGTGGCTAATGTGTCACCCCAGGACTTCACAGATACTACTATAGATAGAAGATACTAGGTAAAAACCAGTAGGTATGAAATTGGTGGTGGCCTGCTAGAGGGCCAGAACCAGGAAGGTGGCACTTAGAGGGCTGTCTGTCTGTGTTCTCTCCTCCTTACCTCAGCTACCCACCCTTGGGGGCCCTTTGGTGACTGGAACTGAAAACGAAGGGGCTGCCACCCTCTGGGATACCTCCCGGGAGTGTCTGTGATGGGCCAGGAAAGAGGTGCTGAATGCCAGAGCAGAGCCTGAATGGGGCTCCGGGCCAGCCTAGCTCTGAAGCAAGCAGCCCTGCCATCAGAGGACCCACCTTGAGGATGGAGAGCCTGGGAACAGCTGGGACAGGCCACCACACTCCACAGAAGGCCCAGAGACCCTGTGGTCTCTCTACCGACCTCCGCCCGGCTTGAGATGCGCACGTTAGGGCAGCACATTTGATGTACACACATGGGGCATGGACACCTTCTGCTGGGCTCAGTACAGGACAGGAGGGTGACAAGGAGAAGCTGGGACCAGCTCTATGGTCAAAGCTGGGACCAGCTCTATGGTCATCATCAAACCATCCAGAATTAGTTCTTCTAGGAACACATTTTCTGCGTGGTTTCTTTTTCTTTTAAAGAACTTTACTGGGTCGCCTGGGTGGCTCAGTTGGTTGAGCGTCCAACTCTTGATTTTGGCTCAGGTCATCTCAGTGTCATGAAATCCAGCCCCATGCCAGGTTCTGTGCTGGGCATGAGGTCTGCTTAAGATTCTCTCTCTCCCTCTCCCTCTGCCCCTCCCCACCCCCAAAGCACATGCTCTCACTCAAAAAAAATAATAAGTAAAGAGCTTTACTAAGGTATAATTGACATACTATAAACTTCAAATATTTAAAGTGTACAACTGGGGCACATGGGTGGCTCTGCCTTCAGCTCAGGTCGTGATCCTCGGGCCCTGGGATCAAGCCTGGCATCGAGCTCCCTGCTCAGTGGGGAATCTGCTTCTCCCTCTGACTGTCCCCCTGCTCCTGCTGCCATGCTCTCTCTCTCATTCTCTCTCTCTTCCAAATAAATAAATATAATCTTAAAAAAATAAAGTGCACAATTGAGGAGTTTTGACATCTGCACACACTTATGAAATCATCAAGAGGATGACATAGTCATCACTCCCTTGGCAATCCCTCCCATCCCTCCCCCCCCAACTCCCCCACTCCTCTATCTCCAGGTAACCTTTCCTCTACTTTCTGGCACGGGAGCTTAGTTGACATTTTCTAGAGTTTTATATAAATGGAATCATACAGTACGTACTCTTGTCTGACCGGCTTCTTTCAGCATAATTATTCTGAGACTTATTCGTGTTGCATATACCAGTGGTTCACATTAGGGGTTGCAGGCCCGGGCTGTGCTCGCAGACTCTGTAAGGAGGCTACCCTGTCAGCATCAATAATAATAATTCATTTGACTCCCCAGCAGCCCCTCCACAATGGAGGAGCAGGAGCCCAAAGAAGATGGGGGAGAAGCTGGCCTGCCAGTGGCAGAGTGCAGTGTGAGAAGCTGCTTTGGGGAGTTTCTCTGGGGCCTTCTTCAAAGGGATTAAAAGCCAGAGACTGAGTGACGTGGTCCAGGGCATCCAAAAGATAACTGTCACTCTGTACAAAATCTGAGGCTGCGCCCCACCACGGCGTGAGCTCTGGGGGCAGGGGCCACGCGGTCAGGTCCTAGGGTGGAAGAAATAGGAAAACCTTCTTGGCACTGCAGCTCCTAAATCACCCTGGGTAAACAAGCAAAGGAACAGCTCCCCAGAGCCCCAGGCAGTGCTTTGCCAATGAATCAAAGGTCAGCAACACCATAAATCAACTGCATTTGCACCGAACAGATCATGAAGAGTTATTTTGAACTTGGCCAAAAAAATTCCCTGGAGCTGAATCAACTCAAAGAACACAAACAGAGAATGAGGAAATGTCCATCTTCCTCCTCTCCCAAGCCATAAGGCCCTGACGCTCCAGGGCCAGATTCTCCACAACGAGGGCTGCCTCCTTTCCTGTGGCATCATGATCCCCAAAGTATGTGTCTGTGACCTCGGGTGCCACCAGGTGATGGGTCTCCCACAAAGCAGACACAGCAGTGGGCAGACATAGAGCTTTGGGGTGTTGGGGGGATACCTCCCAGGGTCCTTCAACCCTCCCAGGAACCAGGGCCTACACAGGATTTTCTGGCCATGGGACCAGCATTATGCTCACCTGGACTGTCATGTCACTGGCCTCAGCCCAAAGCTATCCAGACTCCAGCCTGTGAGGATTGTCTTCCTTTCTTTCTTTCTTTTTTTTTTTTTTAAGATTTTATTTATTCATGAGAGACACAGAGAGAGAGGCAGAGACATAGGCAGAGGGAGCAACAGGCTCCCCACTAAGCAGGGAGGCTAATGTGGGACTCGAGCCCAGGATCACGACCTGAGCCAAAGGCAGACGCTCAACCATTGAGCCACCCGGGTGCCCTGAGGATTCTCTTTCAATTAAATATGCATGCGTGTATGGAAAGAGGTCCAGAAGGACCTTCGGTGTTATCACATGTCAATTCAAGGCGCCTGAATCTTCTGAATTTTTTATAATGAGTGTATAGTTTAGCATTTTTTAAAAGGCAGTGGTGTGTAGCAAGGAATTTTTTTCTTGTTATGAAAGCTATTGACTATAGAAGATTTAGAAAAATATATAAAGACCGAAAGGAGGAGAGAGTCACCTGTAATCATAATCCCACCACCCAGGTAGACTCTGTTGATCTTTAGAGAATTTCTTTTCTATAAATAGAATATGTATTTTTGGGATCCCTGGGTGGCGCAGCGGTTTAGTGCCTGCTTTTGGCCCAGGGCGCGATCCTGGAGACCCGGGATCGAATCCCACGTCGGGCTCCCTGCATGGAGTCTGCTTCTCCCTCTGCCTGTGTCTCTGCCTCTCTCTCTCTCTCTCTCTCTCTCTCTCTGTGACTATCATAAATAATAAATTAAAAAAAAGAATATGTATTTTTAACAAAAGAGAAGTATGATGCATTCTGTTTTACAATCTACTTTTATTCTTCATAATCTATGCTCAGCATTTTCTTTTTTTTTTTTGAACTTCGGTTAATCTTACTGAGATAAATGGTATTCTTAGAAGTCTACCTTTGTCATAGAACATAAAGGTAAACATCTCTGATTTATTCATTTTAAGTTTTTATTTAAATTCTAATTAGTTAACATATATGATAAAATTGGTTTTAGATGTAGAATTTAGTGATTCATCTCTTACATATAACACCCAGTACTCATCATAACAAGTGCCCTCCTTAATGCCCATCACCCATCTAGCCCATCCCCCACCCACCTCCCTCTGGCAACCCTCCCTTTGTTCTTTGTTAAGAGTCTCTTATGGTTTGTTTCCTCCCCTTCTCTTTTTAACCCCTTCCCATATGTCCATCTATTTTTTTTCTTAAATTCCACATATGAGTGAAATCATTTGGTTTATTGTCTTTCTCTGACTGACTTTTCTTGCATAACAATACATTCCAGCTCCAACCATGTCATTATAAATAGCAAGATTTCATTCTTTTTGATGGCTGAGTGATATATATATATTATTTACATATATATATGTAATATAATATATATATATTAGGCATCAGCCCCATGCTATCCAGACTCCAGCCTGTGAGGATCATATATATATATATATATATATATATATATATATATATATATATATGAAATCCCCACATTCCAGGTGCTGGAATGGCCTGGACAACTTTTTGATATATACATATACATATATATATATATATATATATATATATATATATATATATATCTCACATCTTCTTTATCCATTTATCAGTTGATGGGCATTTGGGCTCTTTCCATTCCATTGTTTGGCTATTGTTGATAATGCTGCTATAAACATCAGGGTGCTTCAAGTCTGTATTTTTGTATCCTTTGGATATATACCTAGTAGTGCAATTTGCTGGATCATAGAGTAGTTCTATGTTTAACTTTTTGAGGATCCTCCATACTGTCTTCCAGAATGGTTGCACCAGTGTGCATTCCCACCAACAGTGTGAGATGGTTCCCCTTGCTCTGCATCCTGGCCAACACCTGTTGTTTCCTGTGTTGTTAATTTTAACCACTCTGATAGGTGTAAGGTGGTATCTCATCATGATTTTGATTTGCATTCCTGATGATGAATTGATATATGCTCAACATTTTCTATGTCATTAGCATCCTCTGACAATATCATTTTATGGCTTGTAGTATTCCATTAAATGGATGTACCATGCTTCATTTAACTCATTTTTCCCCTCAAGGCTTTCAATCAATCAATATTTCTCTGTTGCCTACCACAGGCAAATGATCATGGTACTATTTTCCAAAGATGCCTACGATGTAGACGCACAGGAGGATTGCATTTTCCTATCCTGTGCAGTTAGGTGTTGCCATGCCATATCTGCTTGGAAGCTTTAAGAATCAGCACACAGTTGAAAATGTTCTCTTCTTCAGCCCATTTGGAAGCGGAGACAGATCCTCCTTCAGCCTGGGTCTCTGTGTGCACAGCCCCAGCTAACCTACGGTGGACATGGAGGATAATACAGCACAACTCTGTGCTCCTAGCTATTGGGATTCGGCACTGTTTGGTTTCAGTAACATAACCTCACTGGTCCTGACTGACTGGACTTCAAGGCTGATGGAAAGACAAGGTTAAAGACATAGTCCCAACCCTCCGAATGTGCATGGTCTTAAGTGCAAGCCTAAAAACAAGGAAAGAGTCTAAAAAATGAGCAACAAATAAACATTCAGAGCAAAAACATTGCAAGTGTGCCTTGGAACAATTGGAAATGTTCAGCCCCAGAAAGTATAGCAGTGACGAATCTGAGAAGGATGGTTCACAGGTGCTGGAGTGGCCTGGGCAAACTTTGTGGAAGAAGGGGGAAGAGAAGGGCTTTGAAGCCTGGGGACATCTGAGGGCACTGATGGGGGCAGGACATCAGAGAGGAAGGGAGAGGAAAGGAGATTCATACAATCAGGTGAAACATGGAACCCAAAGGACCACTAAGTAGGTGATTCTGTATGAAGAAGGGGCTTTGAGAAAATGAGAGCTAAAGACAGTCTCAGAGAAAGGAAAAGTCTCAGAGAAAAGGCCAGACTGGGAAAAAATCACTGGTGCAAAGAGAAGGACCTCATCTCTATTCTGTGCTTCTGATCCTTCCTTTGGAGGAAAGATGCCTCTGTAAACTACCTCATCAAGAATGGCATTGGTGAGACTGATCTTTGGAGGCTTAATATGGCTTGTTCTAGGCACGTAAACACTATTTTCAGGAGTAAGTTTGACTTCAGATAAAGTCAAAACTATGATGATTTGCTAACCCTATTTGAGTAATCGCTCCCCAAAGCTACAGGTGTGAACCACATTTTTAACCTTGTCAACCAAGCAGTGTCAGCCAGTCAGTGTCTGTCAGTGTCAGTAATTCAGTGTCAGTGTGTCAATCACTCAATGTCTGTCAATCAGTGTCAGTCAGTGTCACCCAGTGTTAGTCAGTCAGCCAGTATCTGTCAGTGTCAGTGAGTCAGCCAGTCACTGTCAGTCAGCCTAGTCAGTATGAAGGGCATCCACTTGGTTTCTGAGCACTGTACCCATTTGCCTTTCTGCTTATTTATCCAGCATATTTCCTGTTCCTGGGCATTGGGATAGGTGCGTCATTCCTCCATAAGGACAGAAAGGAGACATTGTTTCCCCAGGAACTCAGAGCAAAGTAATTACAAGCTGGGTCAGGCCATCAGCCCCTCATTTTCAGCTCGGCTGCCAGCAGCTGAGGTGAGGTGCTCTGATTCTGAGAGCTTCCTGAGTTCGAGAGGGCATCAGTTCAGAAGTGAGTCAAAGAGAACAAGATCACCTTTTGACTCTGAAGAGCCACTTCCTCCTCTGCAGGGGTTTTGGCAGTTTCCCACCTAAGTGCTCATCTGGCTGCAATCCAGGCCTGGCAAGATGAACCCAATGATAGCTCAGACTCTGTAGCAGCAGGCCCTCCAACTTCCAACCACAGAGAGCTGTGTTGTGAATGGGCAGATGCATGGTTTCTCCTGACTGAAAAAGAGAATAAACACAGCAGCTCCTTTCTCAGGCAGGACCAGAGCTGAAGGTGGAGGAGGGTGGGGCCATCCTAACCCCTGGCCCAGTGTCCAGACTTGAATATTGTTGCGGGCATTCGTTTTGTCTGCCTGGACACAGGCCCCACTTCTTACTTCTGAGGGAACTGCTTGGCATCCCCTTAAACCTCCCAACGCCCACCAACCATATGGGTTTCGGCAGAAGCTGACAATCCCAGTATGTGCCCTCACCGGAGCCAAAGGGTGGGGAGGGGGCATGAGACTCAGCTGCACCCAATGTAACACCTCAGTGATTGGTCCAGGGGCAGGCGCATGACCCAAACCAGGCCAACTGATTCGTCCTCGAATTTCTCTGAGGCCAAAAGTCCTTTAGCTGGAAGGATATGTACCCAAGTCTGCCAACAGAGTGGCTCTCACTGTGTAGAGAAAACCTCAAGAGGAGAGAATAACCCCAACGTGCAGAAGAGAATGGAAAAGAGTCCTGACAGAGAGTCCAAGCCCCTAATTCCAGCCAACGCCACAGCTGCTTCCACCTCAGGCCTCCTGCCATTTGGTTTGTGAGCCATGCTTGTAACTGGAGAGCCTTGCCTAATACAAACCAGGATACTCGCTGCCCAGTTAGGCCTACCCCTACTGACCTCTTGTCCTCATTTGGACATAGCTGGTCCAGGATGTGGTTTGCTCAAGACCCTTGACTTCTCCTCTCGAGCCCCTTGCAGCAGAGGTGGGCAGAGAAAGTCAAGGAAGGCCCACTGGGCCCTCAGGAGGTTGCAGTGGTCAGGCCCTGCGGGAGAGGCCCGCGGGACCAGCACCTGCCTGGGACACATGTGGCCTTTCTATAAAGCATGTTCGTCTGATTTTGGGCTCTGACATTCTGGTATGGAAAATGTTCTCTTGCTTGCCTTCTTGGTAACTCCACACAGGGCAACATCATGGGCAGTAGGCAGCCCCATCGGGCATCCCCACTTAGAAGGAGCCCAGGCTTGGTTGCATTCTGTGATATCAACTGTCTTGAAATTCTTGATCACTTTGAAGGAGAGCCCTGCATTTAATTTTGCACAGGGCCCCACAAGTTAGGTAGCTGGTCCTAGCTCTATGCATTCCCTCACGGTGGGATTTGGGATTTCAAGTAGTTGTTCCAGCAACCAGAGCCTCCTCCCCCATCACCCATTCCTTTATGTCCCTTTGCCTCCCCCCAGCAAGGCTCTCTCCCCACAGGGACTGTTCACCCAGACACAGGGAGCTGAACCTGTGCCGGCTGGCAGTTGGCTTTGTTTCCCACGTGAGTTCTAGGTAAAATCCAGGGGGCTGGGATTCGTCTTATCTGGAACAATGCCGACGTGAGTGGCTTCTCTTGCCCCCTTAGCCCCCGCCTTTTCTGCAGTTCTGCCTCAAACTGCCTTCGCAAGGCTTCTGGGAAAACTCCACCAGCAAACACACGGTACAGAACCTGGCTTCTCAGATTTGAGCAATCGAGGATTCTGCTGCAGGTTTACACAAGAAGAGTGGCTTTAATGAGATTGCTTTGTGGTTCTGTAATGAGGATTTCAAAAGTCTAGCAAACAGACAAGCAGCCTGTGTCCTTGGGAACAGACTGCTGAACATTTAGCAAAGGCATGTCCTTGCCTTGGGCCTCCCCACCTCCCCTGGCAAAGGTGGATTCCGGCCTCCTCACTCCCAAGAGAGGAATAACACTACATAAAGCCCCCACAGGACCAGTCGTCACACCCTCAATATTTACTGTGAAAAGCTGACTTAAGGGGAGAAGCCGACATGGGAGAAGATGATACACAATAAGGTAACAGAGAGCCCAGGTGTGATCAAAGTGATTTATTTTTGGATCATGGTAACAGTTACGAAACCAGGAACATTTCATTCACCTGTCCATCCATGTTTTGTGTCATAAAGACATACCGAGACTTTGGAAAAAATTCCAAAGGGGATTACACTGAAATGTGCTGTCTCTTCACTTGTTTTTGTGCTTGTCTCCATCACAGTGAACCAAATAAAATAGCTTTACAGCTTACTACAACTCAAACTTGTCCTCAAAGGAAGCAGTTTAAACATTTCCAACTGTACATCGGCAGTGCGACGATTCCACATCAGGAGACAGATCAGAGAGACCAAAGCAGCTCTAAATAAAACTAGTCTCACCAAAAGAAAAGAAAACAAAAACAAAAACAAAAACACCATGAGGGAAATCCAGATTATCTAGAAAGAGTGAGTTCTCTTCAGGACTGATGTCCCAAAATAATAAGATACAACCGTGGGTGCAATGTCTTCTTTGAGAAAAAAGAGGTGACAACAGATCTGGCTGAAGCAGCTAAGGAGCTGGTTTTAAAAAGATGAAAGGGGTCACAGGGAGACACAAGGTCCCCACATCTCCACTGGCAGCAGTTACGGTGAATTAGAGGGCTGGGAGCGGGCTGTCCCAGGGCTGCACCCTGGTCTGTGCCAACAATGCACAGTGACACAGAGAATCCCATTTGCACTCACCAGCCTGCAGGAAGCCTTTGGGGGTTGGGAGCTGGTTTCCCACTGGGAGGTGCCTCACACTCTCCCTGATGGCCCAGCCACCAAAGGCCATGATGAACAAAGGAGCCAAGACCTACACACAACTGGACTTGTAACCCTGAGGAAATGGTGGATGCCTGCTAGGGACGCCAGGGCCCCCTGAGGACGGAGGGTCCACACTCTGGAAGCACAGTCTCATTTCCTGCCAGCTGCAAATGGCTGGGTCCTGCCTCCCCAAAGCTGAAAGCAGGAGCTGGATGGAAGAAACAGCAGGGGTGGAAGGCAGCAATAAACCTCCTGACTGAGGCTCCCCCCAGCTCTTCAGAGACCCACCTCGAGGCTTCTGGGCACAAGTCCTGACTGTGCCTTCACTGGCCTTGGCTCACGTGCGAGGTGTGGCTTAGAAAGCGCAGCCCGCAGAGGACCTGTGCTGGGGAATGCCCTGATGGACGGCTGAAAAACATGGGATGCTTAGCCTGAGTCAAGAAGTGTGTGTGTGTGTGTGTGTGTGTGTGTAGGGGTGAAGACCCCAGGGGCAGACCCTCAGGACAACGGGCCCCTGCCCCACCTCCACAGACCAGCACCACCACACAATTTCAGAGTGACAAGTGGAGCCCACACATCAAGGCTGGAATTCTAGGTCTCCCTCATGAGGTAAGAAACAGGGTCTCCTATGGAAACCTCCCGATGCCACAACCTCCATCAGGCAACTCACTACAATAGTTCAAAGGTGATTCGATGCAATGCAATTGAAGGCCATTTACCAGGATTTTTCAGATGTTTGCCCGTGACCCGCATTCAGTTTGCATGGCTAGCCAGGGCACACGGGGGCACACGCACGGAGCTAGCACGCAGGAGTCTCACGCTTCGCTTGGTGACGTGCAGTGGGCTCTGGGATTCCTCTGCCGCTCTTTCTGGCGTGACCCATTACACTGATCTTGTGACCCCCTCGTGGATCCCCGCTGCAGCTTGACAAAACAGCCATGGAGTGTTCTGGACAAACCCTTGGGGCTGTCAGGGGCCGAGGGGTCTTCCAGACAGGAGAGACCACTCCGCCCACGGAAGGGGCCGGCCCTACTCTGCAGGACCTGGAGCTGCAGCGGCAAGCCCCGCAGTGTCCGCGAGGGCCATCAGGTGCCACCACGGGCAGGCTGAGGCCGAGGAAGCTGGCCCCCCGACCGTCTTTAAAGAAAAGGGGGTGCACAGTGCAGGGGCTGCGCCCCAGGTGCAGGCGTCCACCCGGCCGCCGGCCCACGTGGCCGGGCGAGGCTGCGACATCCCCGGCGGTGGCAAGGACGAGCTCTCAGGACTTCCCCACGGGCGCCCCCGACCTCTGGAATTTCTGGATGAGCAGGATGAGCCTGGCGACGTCGGAGAGCGCGGGGAACAGGGCCATGACGCTGTCCACCTGCTGCGGCGGGAAGAGGCCGCAGAGCGCCCTGCGCGCCCGCGCGCGCGCCTCCCCCGCGCCGGGGGCGGCGGCCGGGGCCCCGCGGGCCCCCCGAAGGCGCCGTCGCCCCAGCCGCCTTCCGCCCAGGCCGAGCGGCCCGCGAACCGGCCGGCCGCCGGCGGGGGGGCGCGCGCCTCGGAGGCCCGCCAGCGCTGGGGCGGCAGGTCGGCGTGCGCGGCCCCGGGGCAGCGCCCCCCGAGCGGCCGGGGCGCGGGGCCGGCGTCCGCAGGGGGCGCCGCGCCGAGCCCCGGGTCGCCGCCGAGCGCGAGCCGCGAGAAGCGGCCTTCGAGCGCCGCGGCGTCGGGCGCGGGCCGCGGGGGGGGCAGGCTGCGCGCGCCCGGCTCGGCCGCAGCGCCCCGGGGCCCGCCCCGCCCCGCCGCGCCCGCCGCGCCCGCCGCGCGCGCGCTCCGCCGCCGCCCCGCCTCGCCGCCCGCGCCCCGCCCCGCCCGCGTCTGCGCGCGCAGCTCGTCGGCCACCGCCAGCGGCGCCGCGCGCGGCCTCTCGGGGTGGAAGAACTTGCACTTGACGCCGTAGGTGCACTTCTTGCCTGGAAGGGGCGGGGGGGGGGGGAGAAGGGTGAGAGGCGCCCGGGGAGAGGCGCCCGGGGCTGGGCGCGAGGGGGGCCCGCGCCTCCCCGCGCTGTGGGCTCCACCCCGCGAGCTGTTTCAGGCCGGTGGATGGGCGATGTGGGGACTCGGCTGGGCTAGAAACTGAGACCAAACCTGTAGATCCAGTGACCTTCGGCCCCGCTTCCCCAGCGCCCCTGCGGAGAGGGCCGCCTGGAGGATGGACCCCGAGCAGGTGCTCACGGCACAGGACCGCACCTCCAGTTCTGCCTCAGTTTCCACCATTGGCCTCACCCCTTCTGCTGACCATTGCCCTCTCCCTACAAACTGCCCTGACAGAGGGGATCAACTAATTTACCGCCCAAACCTGGACGCTTCTGAGAGTGAATGGGAGCAAGATGAGCCAACCTGAATGTGCATGTGTGGTCACCTTAATGCTAATAAGAAGTGACTTCGAATACCACCTAAGGTTCTTAGGGACGCCTGGGTGGCTCTGTGGTGGTCGAGCATATGCCTTCGGGTGAGGGCGTGATCCCGGTGGGGGGCCTCGAGTTCCCCAGCGGGCTCCCTGCAAGGAGCCTGCTTCTCCCTCAGCATATGTCTCTGCTTTTCTCTGTCTCGTGAATAAATAAATAAAATCTGTATAAAACTTCTGGAGCAGCCCCGGTGGCTCAGCGGTTTAGCGCCGCTTTCAGCCCAGGGTGTGATCTTGGAGACCCGGGATCGAGTCCCACATGGGGTTCCCTGCATGGAGCCTGCTTCTCTCTCTGCCTGTGTGTGTGTGTGTGTGTGTGTGTGTGTGTGTGTGTGTGTGTGTGTGTCTATGAATAAATAAATAAAATCTTTAAAAACAAAATAAAATAACTTCTTTGGACACAGGAAAGAAGGCCTGGGGATGTTAAACAACAAATGACCCTGCCAAATCAAGTTAGTAGAAGAGCTGGCTAGGAGTGCTCTGGGATAAAGTCCTTCATTCTTGATGGATAGCACGGACCAAAGTCCATGAAGGTATGGGGCGGGATGGTGGGGCAGGACTCGGGCTCAAGGTGCCAAAGTGCCAGGTGACGGGACTGAGCTGGGAGACCACACAGCCTCCAGGCTTCCCGGGTACAGCTCTGCCCTGTGTGTGACCCCTGCATGTGGCCCTCACAGAGGCTCCCATGTGACAGTTCATCCTTATGATAACCCTGTCAGCAAGTGCTGGCCAGAGAGGTGAAATTAGCTCTCCAGGGTCACACAGCTAGTTAGGACTGGAGCCCAAGGCCAGCACTTCCGACTCTGCCTCGAGTGCCACCCCGACCTGAGACCTGGACAGGGATCACGAGGCAGGGGTGCTACCCACCGTAGGGGCAGTGCTGCCAGGAGGGCTCTGGGGGCTTTGGCATCCTGCTCAGGAAGTTGCTCAGGGTGGGTCCCCGGCGGCCCAAGGGGTCATCAGGAGGCATGAACCTGTAAACAAGCACAGGGGGCGATTGCAGGAAGCTCACCACCGGCCCCCGCGGGCAGCACCCGGCATGGCCTGGGCCTGGGCCTGGGCTCCCGTGCCGGCTCTTTCTCCCACCCAGGGGCTGTGTAGCGTTTGCAGCAGTACAAGCCTTCCTTCTCACTGAGCCCACGAGGGCCGAGCAGGGATCTCCGGAGAGCAGCCGAGGCCTCTGGGAGTTTCTCCAGCAGGGCCAGAATCCGGGCTTCGCACAAGTCCTGTTTGATCAGACACTCAGGTGGTTCAGGAATCTGCATTTTTAACAACTTTCCAGGTGATTTTTATCCACTAAAACTGAAACATAATTGCTCTAGGGCTCCTCCGGGACGCTTTCCCTTGGGATGCCTGGGTGGCTCAGTGGTTGACCATCTGCCTTTGGCTCAGGGTGTGATCCTGAGGTTCCAGGACTGAGCCCCACATGGGGCTCCCCATGGGGAGCCTGCTTCTCCCTCTGCCTGTATCTCTGCCTCTCTCTCTGTGTCTCTCATGAATAAATAAATAAAATATTTTAGTATTATTTATTTTTTTTTATGATAGTCACAGAGAGAGAGAGAGAGAGAGGTACAGAGACACAGGCAGAGGGAGAAGCGGGCTCCATGCACCGGGAGCCCAATGTGGGTTTCGATCCCGGGTCTCCAGGATCGCGCCCTGGGCCAAAGGCAGGCGCTAAACCGCTGTGCCACCCAGGGATCCCGAATAAATAAATAAAATATTTTTAAATAAATAAATAAATAAATAAATAAATAAATAAATAAATAAATAAATAAATAAAATGAACTGCTTGCCCACTGTTCTCAACATCAGGTCTGAGACCTCCACAGGGCTACAGACAACCCTAGGCCTGTGGGCTCCCCTACTCAGATTCCATTTCTCCTGTGTTGCCCCGCAGCCCTGGATATGTACAGGTGGGGGATAAATATTAATCGAGCTTGAAATGCCAGCCAGTGAGCCAGTGAAGAAGCAGATCCCAGGTGTGGCGGGCACGCGGAGCCTGAGTAGAGGACCAGCACCTCCTCTTCAAATCCAGGGGGCTCTGGGGTTGGTCTCAGCTTCTGGGGCTGCCGGACCCCCGCCCAGTTCTTGAATACCACCTGCCCCCACTCTGCCCCTTCTGTCTCCACAGCATTAAGTCTCACCAGGAAAGGGAACGCATCCTGGGCGTGCCCACAGCTCAGAGGGGAAAACATGCCTTGGAAGGAATACTTCCCTCCTTTAGTGCCATCCGTTTTTTTTCACATGAATACTTTTGTTCCCAGGAAGGACTTCTAGGCCATACAGAGGTTCCATGAGAGGAGTTGTAGATCCTAAATAGGGGGCCTGATTTTAATGGGTTGGTGTCCCTCTGAGAGTCAAGTGTCACACTGAGTCTCACGGTGCAGACCACGTAGAGGAGGCCAGCCCAGCGCTGGGCAATCCCCAGTCCCGGGCAGCCTCTGTGGCTCAGATCCCAGCTACACAGCCAGCGTCTTGGAGTTGGGCCCTGACCAAGAATCTGGGGAGCCGCCCACTGCGGTTATTAGAGGTTCCCAAAGGCTTCACCTCCTGCTCTCTGCCGGGCCTTGGCCACGGCGAGCTGGGCCAAGAGGGCCCTATGGACATGCCCGGGGCACCAGGGCAGGCGTCCTCACCCACAGGCAGGCAGGCTCTGCCTTCTGGCAGCCAGGGGACCTTCTGGCAGGCCCTTAGCAGAGGCCAGTGCGTCAAAAGGACTTGGCTGGGGCCCCGGGCTGTGTCCAGACCAAAGGCAGCCATGATCTATCAGACTTCAGTGAAGAGCTTCTGGAACCCAGAATTGCCAGATTTCTCTGGGCCTGAGCTGGATAGAGGGAACTGCTGGCCTTGATTATGTGGAAATGACCATAGGGGTTCCTGGGAGGTAGCTGCTTGCAAGCATCTGCCCTGGGGTTTAGGAAGGTGATATAGGGGCAACCATGTCCTGGCATGGCCTGAAAGTAACTGCTACCTCTTATGGGGTACAATTCCCCCTAGCCTTTGGTGTCCTTTGCTTTGGCGTGGTGTGCCTATGCCTGCAAGCCCCACTGGGCATACACTGGTTGGAGTGGCTTTTTCTGCCAGTCACCCCAGCTCCCTGCGCCAGGACCCCACATGCCACCACATACCGATCGTTGACGAAGGAGAACATGAGCAGCCTTTGCTCGATGAACCACTTCCACTCGGGGTTCTCGCTCTGAAGGTCACGGTAATTGTCGTTGGAGACGATGACACCATCCTGCTCGTAGGCCACCTTCACAATGTAGCGGTCGTCATAGCAGACCACCCGCTTGCCATTGACCTTGCGGGACGGGGTGTAGACGAGCACTGCCTGCCTCTCCAGCTCCTCCAGCACGTGCTGCTCTGGGGGGCGCAGGGCAGGCAGGACACAGAATGTAGCGGCTTTAGGGGAGGGACCCCCACCCCTAAAGCCATTCTCAACGTCACCGAGCCCGGGCGGCAGCTCAGGGAGCCTCTCCAAGCCAACTCCCTCCTCCCCATCCATGGCCCAGCCTGGCAGGTGAGGAGCTCAGAGGTCTTGAGAGGAATTTGCCAGCAGCCTGAGGTCAAGAGGACTCTTGGCTTCTGTCCCGCCCAAGTCATGACAAGGGTCCTGAGAAGGGTCCTTAACAAGAGGAGTCACTTTAGAAGGCAGAGGGAAGCCATAGCTTCTATCCTTTCTCTAGTTACATGCCATAACACCCCTACCACAGGAGACCCAGAAGAGTCCTTCTGGAGAAAGACATTCATATTTAACTGGAATCCTGGCAATGCCTTAGAAGTTACTAGGAGACTTGCATCCACCTAGAAGGCTTCTGCTTGGGCCCATATCTCAGAGCCACTGTTCTTCCTGCCCATGGTACTGAGATGCCTTCAGGATAGAGCATACCATAACAGCTCTGAGGAACACAAGAATGTAACCAGAAGAGTCTGGAATTAAGAATCTATAAGCTGGGTTCTGGTCTCAGCTGGTACCTCATTCCTCTCTGAGCATCAGATTTTGCATTTACTATAAAATGAGGATAGTAACTCCTCTTTCACATCCTCAGGGCCTATGAGGAGACTGGATGAGCTCGTGTGGGTGACAGCTCTTATGCAGCCTGGCGAGGAGGTGAACATGTATCAGGTGCCACAAGGTCTCTTAGAGGAACTAAAATCCACATCCCTGGAAAGTCCACTCTCTGACCTTAGTTTTGCCTTTGGAGCCATGCAAAAAAAAAAAAAAAAAAAAAATCCCTTCTACGGGTAACAGTTACTCAGAACATGGAAGAGTATTAGCATATTCTTCACAAATTGTTTCTTCCTTCAATTCTACATCCTTTCCTATGTGACATGGTGTCCAGACTTCGACAAAGTACATAATGCATACAGGGCACAAAGGGTACATTTTAAAGCCACCTATGCAGTGATCCCTTAGAAAAATAGGGTGTGGCCACACTTCTGGAGTCCTCATTGTCCCTCCCACTTTGCTGCTCCCCTCAACCTAACCCCAATTTTTAGAACTTTGTGTTTATAATTCCCTTCCTTCCGTTTTTAAAAATGCCTATGTATGCATCCCCCAAAAGGACTATTTTTTTCTATGCTTTGCTATTTATTTTCAGGTTTCACTTGGATGTCTTTACACGTTGACATATGTACAAGTAAGAGAAACAACCGTCAAGTGTTGAATTCTGAGGGCGCCTGGGTGGCTCAGTCGGTTAAGCTGTTAAGTGTCTGCCTTTGGCTCTGGTCATGACCTCAGGGTCCTGGGATCAAGCCCTGCATTGGGCTCTCTGCTCAGCAGCGAGTCTGCTTCTCCCTCTCCCTCTGCCTGCCGCTCCCCCTACTTGTGCACTTGCTCTCTCTCAAATAAATAAATAAAATATTTTTTAAAAAGGTGTTGAATTCTGCTTCTGAGAAAGACCACAAGATTATAGACTTAAAACTATAATGAGCAGGGTCCAATATGGTAACATTCTGCATATCATTATGACCTCTCTCGACAGTAGATATTTCTTATGCCATCTAACATTTGAGAGTTTAAAAACCATTATCCATTAATAGCAAAAATCGTTTTTTTATTCTTTCATGCCCACTTCCTTTTTTTTTTTTTTTTAAAGATCTTATTTTATTTCAGAGACAGAGAGCAAGCAGGAGTGGGGGTGGGGCCAGCGGGAGAAGTAGACTTCCTTCCGCTGAGCAGGGAGGCCCGGTGGGGCTGGATCCCAGGACCCGGGATCACCACCAGAGCCTCAGGCAGACACCCAACCACTGAGCCACCGAGGCACCCCTCATGCCTTATTTCTTTACTAGTCTTCTCAAGTGTTGTTTCCTATAAAAATTGATCTAAAAGAAGGTTAGGCTAATCAAAGTATTGCAATTTGTTTATTTTTTTGTTTTAGTTTTTTAACTTTATGTGGTTATTTATTGCAATTTTTTATTTAAAAAATCTTTTTAATTTAAATTCCAGTCCTTGATGTCCATATTTTTAATGTGATTAGGACCCTCTAAACTTTACTCAAATGGAATTATATGTACGTATTCTTGTTCATGTGCTTTCTTCCTTTAACGTTTTCTTGGAGAGGTTTGGCCACATCCATATGTTCACTGCTGTCAGTTCTGCGTCTAAGTCTCTGGGGACAGAAGTACAAGGATGGTTCTAGGGAGTACCCCCAAGAGTGATATTGCTGAGCGATAGGGCAAGGCACTTCCCAAGACAATGCTGAATTGTTTTCCAAAGTGGGTATATCAAGTTACTACCCAACACAGCAGTTTAGAAGACTTTGTCAATGCTTGGCATTTCCAGGTTTCTGAATTTTTGCCAATCTAGTGGGTGTACAGTGGCCTCTTATTGTGGTTTTATTTTGCATTTCTTTGGATACTAATGAGATTGAGCATCTTTTCTTACGTTTATTGGCCATTTATGTTTTCTCTTCTGTGAAAGGCCTATTCATGCTTTAGTTCATCTTTCTGTTGGTCCTTTGTCTTTGTCTTATTAATTTGGAGAAGCTGTCTATCGATTCTGGACAGTACATCCTTCATCGGGAATGTGTGATGGATAGCCTCTCCCAGTTCAAGGCTTGTCTTTTCATTTTTTTACTTCTGTGGTATCCACTAATGAACAGAGCTTTTATTTTAATGCAGTCAAATTTATGAATCTTTCCCCTGAAGCTCTGCACTTGCTATGACTTGTTTAAAAACTCCTTCCCTACCCCAGAGTGATTTCTCTAGCCTCTACCTATACTGTATTTAAAGATTACACAACTATTAGAGAGCCACTATTCTCCATGTTCAGACAGTAAAGAATAATTTGGGGTAACCAGTTCATGGTGGAGAACTGAGCACACGCATTTATCCCACCTTTCTCACAATTCCATTGAAGTGGCAGTGAAGAGATACAAAATGGGGAGGGGGCCCATTATCATGGTATAATGAGCCACAGAAAAGCAGCAAACACAGGATAATAGCAATGAAACCAGGAGAGCAGCAAACCCAGGAAACCTTACTGACCCCACAGTAGGTAGGGAGCCACACCCCAGAATGCGTATAGAAGGCTGAAGCAGAGGGGGTACCATTCTCCCTACAGAGACCCAGAGCGTTCAGGCCCGTGGAGAGGGAGTGGGGTGTGGGCAGAAGTCAGGGTGAGGGCTGCTCATGGAGCAGCAGGTGCATCCACCCTTTCCCTACCCTTATCACTATAGGGAAAGTGAGATATAACTAGGAAGGAGGAGGTTCCCATGTGGCCTTTGGCCATCTAGAGTAAAACCATCATTGCTGTGGCATTGCAACGTGCGTAGGTAGGGCTGCCCAGCGGCCCGCCTGCTCCATGACCAAGCAAAATCTGCCAGTCAACACTGATGGTCAGCCCTGCCACTCCAGGAAAGATCCACATGCCAGGAGAGAAAACGCAAGGAAGTCACACAGATATGTGTCTGACCAACCTGACTCTTTATTTGCAAATAAAAACTGGCAACCAAACAATCACTGGACTTGAGAAAACTTAACAGCACACACATACAGAGAGAGGGGTAGAGAGAACTGGCTCCAGAAAAAATAAAGAGGATTCACAGAACTAATAGAACTTCTTAAAGTCTGCATTAGTATAGAAATAGGCAACAGATACTTCATCCCTAAGATAAGAGTATAATTTTATTCAAAAAAGAAAGGCAGAGAATCTGAAACAGAAGAAGCAGTAATTGGTAACCATTAAAAACACCATTAAAAACTTTTGGTTAAAAGGCTGAAAGAAGGGGGTGCCTGGGTGGGTCAGTCAGTTAAGCATCTGCCTCTGGCTCAGGTCATGATCCCAGGACCCTGGGAGTGAGCTCCTTGCTCAGTGGGAGGTCTGCTTCTCCCTCTTCCTCTGCATACAATTATTTTGGGGACTTAGTCAATTCACACTAAAAGACAAAATAATTTGTTTATTCATCTATTTAACAACTATGTATGGAGTATCTACTATATGCCAAATATTATGCCAGGTGCCAGCACTATGGCAGTGACTATCTATAGTTGGTGCTTTCATACAGTCCAGTGAGAAAGGCAGACATTATTACACAAATAGCTCAGTAGATACTTGACTGTAATTGTCAGGAGAGCTACCAAGGAAAGGTGTATAGTACTGCTTGAGCATATGCCTCCTCCATCGTACCTCTAATAGGGGTGTCGGATCTTGGTGGGTCTTTCCTCCAGGATGGAACAAAAACCTTGATGTAGGTGTGTCCTCTGTCCCTGAACCAGTCCACAGCCAGCTGGATTCCCCGGCAAGAGAAGACTTCTTTGTTTCCATGGCTACAATGGGAAAACAAAGAAATTTGTAGAGTCACAGAGAGAATTCCTGAAGAGTGATTTCCCCTGGGAATATCCTGAATCACAGTCTTATAATCAAAGGGAATCAGGAAAATCTGCATTTTAAAAATAGTTCATTCCTTGAAAAAAAATATATATCCTTTAACTGGCACCATATAGCTATTGATCATATACGTATAAAGAGGGTCTTGGGTTCCAAGGATTAATAGACAAGAACCCCTTTTCACCTGAAGCTAATAAGGATCATGATAAGATGGAGGAGAGTAGTCATCTTCAGCCTAAGAGAGGGATGTAAATGTGTTATGAGGCTCCCCAAGTCCAAGTAAGGAGGTCAATGTGCCCCACAAATTCTACTGAAGTGTTGATGGAGGTAGGAAAAAGAGAGCAGTGTGAGAGGAGGCCCAAAACCAGGTAAGGCCTTGCATGCCTTCTTGAAGACTTTTCTTTTCCTAAGAGGAATGAGAAGTCATAGAAGGATTTGAAGACTGGGGGGTCTATGTGATGTGATGTGATATGATCCAGTGTATGTTTCCAAAAGCTCAATCTGACAGCACAGAGGGATGATGGGAAGGGAGCAAGGTCCCAATTAAGAAACTGTCACAGTCATCAAAGCAAAACTGGATGGTGACTTGGACCTCCTGGGTGGTGGTGGGTAAGGGAGAAGGGTAGATGAACCTGAGAGGTACTCAGAAGGGAAAATCTCCAGAATGTGGTGACAGATGGGATACAGGGTGATAGAGAAGAAGGCACTGAGGAAGCTTCCAGATCTCTGGCTCTTGTAGCTAGTGGGCTCCTTATTGACATGGGGATTTCTGGAGGAGGACAGTGTTTGGAGGAAAGACCGCAAGTTTTGTCATGGATACACACTGAGTTGGAGGAGCCTCTGTGCCCTCTAGGAGGAAACACTAAGTACACAGCTTGGGTCTCGAAGAGAGTTCTGGGTGATCAGTGTAGGGCATCTGTGCTGACACAACAGCTGGAGCCACAGTGAAGAGAGAATTGCCCCACACCCTGGAGGGAGAGCGAGAGGCCTGGAAGATGCATCTGACGGCACTCTGGAACTCAATAGCTGGTCATGGAGAGAGTAGGACAATCTTACAGAAGACACAGAAAGGGTCTATGCGACCATTAGAAAGTAAACCCGAGGAGCGCTGCATCGTGCAAGCCACAGGAAGGAAGCAGCCAGGGGTTGCTCGGAGGGATCCTTGAAGTCTGAAAACATCCCTCAGGCTGATCCATGTGGGTGAGGTTTGTAAGAGAAAAATGAGAAAAATGGAAGGCTTTGGAAACATTAATCAATAGTACTGAAAGTCAGGCTTTGTGGAGATACATGAGAACTCTGAATTGCTTCGGCTCCAGTGAGGAATCAGGAACCAGGCCTTGTGTCTTACACTGGTAGTGTCTTCCATGTTTAGAGAAAATAGCCCTCTGGCCATTGAGGCCACCCTGGGAAGCTTATACGCAAACAGTAAAGAGAAAAAATATCAGAGTCTATGGTGAAAGGAAGAGGAAGTGGACAGCAAGTCCCTCTGCCCCAGAGGAAGGCAAAAAAAGGAAGATGATAGAGGGAGAAAGAAGAGGTCTTTCACAGTGTCCTAACCCCCTCATCCCCCACCTGCTCTACCCCCTGAGCCAGAAGGGGAGGGGGAGGTGTAGAAACATCAGGATGGCTGTGAAGAGGAAGCCAAAGGCTTGTCTCCCAGCACAGCCTAGGCAGGTCACAAGTCTCTGGGAGAAATCTTGGTTTTAGCAAGTGCAGCATCCTACAGGACTTCAGGGCTGCCTTGGGGGGACATGACAGACTGGTGAGCTGGAAGCAACACCCCTGGATACCTTGCCACCAGGCCTGGTGGACTGATGAGGGCTGGGGATGGACAAATAGGCCCCTCTGAGGAGGGGAGCAGAACTTTAAGCCAGTATGGCATCCCAAAAGGCTAGAGGGGACCAAAGACCCTTCAACACTGATCATTCTGGAAGCCAGACCAGGCCAGACCAGCCACTCTGTAGCAGAGCCCAGTGAGGGTCCCAGACCCGCCTCTCCTAGCCAATGTCAGGTCCCAAAGCCCCCAGATGCCATTTGGGAGTAGAGTAGGGGAGGGAGAGGAAACATGAACCCCAAGTCATCCAGAAGGTAGAAGACACTGAGATATCACAAACTACCTAAACAAATAAGGAAGAGATTGTATCTATCCTAGAAAAGAAGGTCTAATTTCTGTGCACACTGAAGCAGGAATGTGAACTACTGATAACACCTCACCCCCACCCCACCCCCAAACACCCCTGTCAGCTGCAATGAAGTCCATCAGTTCTCAAGTAAACATATCACTACCACAATTCTTTTAAAATGATTTCTTGAGTGCTCTCTTTTTGGGGACTTCCTATCTGCTTCTGTGACTACATACCTTTGACAGGTATGTGGTTGGAGGAGGCACGTTCAGTGATGAGGCTGAACCAAATCCCTCTGAAGAGGCAAAGGTTAGCAGAGCGATGCGTTCTGGTGATGGTGGTCAGGACCCCAGCCTGCCGTGGCCTTGGCTGGAGTCATGTGGAGGGGAAGGGTTTGATAGTTCAGGAGTTCAGGAAGAGAAAAACTAAGGAAAGCTACTACCGTCGGCTTCATGCAGCAAATATCGGTCCCATGGCCTCTCTGACACAAGACTCCAAGATGGCAGACCCTTAGCCAAGAGTTTCAAAACAGTGATGAATACCATTAAGTTCAGGAGAAGATGGAACAAGCATAGATTTGCCCATAGCCTTTCTCCCTCCCTAAGAAGTGCTCTCCCTTCCAGCTTTGACTCTAGGCAAGGGAAGTCAGGAGCTGACCCCTAGAATCACTAAGCTGGTGTCTCTGGAATGGAGGGTTTTCATTCAGGTCTATAGTTTTGCAGGACTGGATTCCCACACACCTCCACCTCGACCTCTCCTCCGAACCTTCAGGTCTCTTTTAAGATGTGAAGATTATTATTGTTCAATCCTTGCCACATTTCTTTTTACCAACCTCAAAACCCCATTATGGGTGCCCTATTCCTGACCACAGAAAGCCCTGGGCCATAGCAGGATTGAAGCCACAAGCAGGGACCACTTTCTCACCACATGGGGGTCTCTCTCTAGAAGCCCGCAGAGCTCCTTGTCAGGCAAGAAAGCACCCATGGCCACCCTCACACCCCACTGCTCGGCACACAGATGGAAATGCAGAAGCGCCTGGTCTTTGTGCATCCCTCCACTCACTCAACATCGATTTATAAACATCTTCAATGAGGATCTGTGCTGGGTTCTTAGAGACCTGTGAACAAGATAGACCTCATTCCTGCTTCTTGGAGCTCATTTTTAATATTCGTAGAGTGTCCTGTGTACCAGGCCACTTTGCACATTGCATTTCAATCATTACAGTGAGCCCCCGAGGAAGTGACCTTCATCCCATGGTACCCTTGAGGAAACTAAAGCAAAGAAATGTGCCCATTCCCTGACCTAGTGGCAGATCTCAGAGCCTGGTCTCTTGGGTTGCAAACTCCTCCTCCCTCCATCTCTTATTCCATTTATTCCTGCCTCTCACAGTCTCTGTCCCTGAGATCAAGACAGCAATTCCTTTGGAGCATAAGTCACCTGCTGTTACAAGGTTTGAGTTTGGAGAGGGACCTTAGCGCTTATTAACATCACTGTGAACCAGTTCATCAGACTGCAAGCTGAGAGCCAGGCCCTAGGAAATGGAGACAGATGAGGTAGGTTTTGAATGAAGGGAGGGTGGTAAGGGGAAGTGGGCTGGTGGCTGAGGCAAACTCTGTCAGGACAATTAGGCCTGGGGCAGCCACAGTTTGCACAGCCATGGACTATTCCCTAGGAGGTCCTACAGAAGTTAGACACTCACAGCACAGTCTCCTGAAGCGCAAAGTGGTGACTGTGGGGTGGGAGGAAAGGAAAAGAGAAGTGGTGGTCCCTTCAGAGTATGAGATGGAAAGACGCACCACTCTTTCCACTCTGTTTCTTATTTGGGGTTAAATTACATATACTCAGAACCTGAGGTTTATAGCCCTTTCACCAAAAGATCTCTCCCCAGCTCAGGTCAGGGGGGAAGAGAGAGGGGGCACCTTCATCTTATAGAAGGATAAACAGGTGCAGACCTAGGTAGGAGCCCAAAGCCGGCATCAGTCAAAGTCAACTCAGGAGCTCAGAAGCAGGATTGACCCCCCAGTCCAGGAGCACATCCTCTACTAGCAACCCACTGACAGGGGGCTGATAAATCTCCCCTTGCAGACCTGAGATCTCGTCACTGAAGATTTGTGACTCCAGAATAAGCCAGATTCTGCTGAGGTTTCTAAGAGTTTAAAAATGTAAATGACAACTCAAACAAAAAGCCCTGCGTGCCCTAAAATAAGGGCACATTTAAATGAAACCCTTGTCCAGGGCAGCAAGAGGATGTGAAATTATCAGGTGGTTTCCCCCCCCAAGCTGAAGTCTTTCAACTCACACTTTTCCTAAACTTGTCTACAGAATGTACAACCCAGCAGGCACTTGAAAGTTTGCCAGACAAGCAAAGCTGGTGGTATTTGGCATGTGAGAATCGGGGCTCCCCCCAACACCGTGATGCAGCTCTTAACACATCTTCCATGAAAGTCACCCTCTTGTTCAAGCCCGCTGGACACTGCCCTTAGGGACAAGTGCAAAGTACCTGAGTGCTGAGCTCAAACCTCCTGTCTCACGTACATCCACATGTGCGTGCTTGCATGAACACACCACACCCTGCGAAGTCAGGGACTGTGCTTGGAATCAGTGTATATGCTGCTGGTCCACCAGAGCCACCTTTCAATGCACATGTGATGGCCTCAGCAGGCTGACAGCAGCAGGAGAGGCATCCTGGGCATTGATCCTACAGAGACCACTTGGCCCCTGGTTGGGGAGTGGGGGTCGCGGCACGTCCTGTCTGCAACAGGCAAGTCGTGGCTCATCCTGCTTGGGAAGGCTCTGGTCCACACTGGCAGCCTCTGGCTCCAGAATAAAAATTCATGGGGTCAGTCTCCTACCCTGGACAGTTTCGAAGGCTGGACTGGGGAAAGCTAAAGATGCATGGTGCTGGAGCAAGTGCAGGGCTGTGGAAAGAGCTCTGAAAGCAGAGCTGGCACTTTCTGCTCTGTGACCTTGGGCAACTTACCTACTCTCTCTGAACCTCTGCAGAAGAAGAGAAATTCTTTTATAAGAAAAGTGCATTGATTCATTTCAGGCATGCATAAAATAATCACCTTGAATCCTAGAATGTCACAGATGAAAAAGCCATGTAAGATTATTATTGTTATTATTTAGCCCAACCTCTTCACTGTATAAACAGGGCTCAAAAATATCAGGTGGGGACATCTGGATGGCTCAGTGGTTGAGCATCTGCCTTTAGCTCAGGTCATGATCCCAGAGTCCTGGGATTGAGTCCTGCATCGGGCTCCCCACAGGGAGCCTGCTTCTCCCTCTGCCTATGTCTCTGCCTCTCTCTCTGTGTCTCTCATGAATTAAATTTATAAATAAATAAATAAATAAATCAGTCAGTCAGTCAGGTGACTCACTCAGGTCACACAGCTGAAAGGCTAGGTCTGTACAGTCCAATATATAGGCACTCACCACAGATGGCTATTTACATTTACATTTAAATTAATTCAAAGAAATAAAATTTAAAATTCAGCTCCTTGGTCACAATAGCCACATTCCAAGTGCTTAGCAACCCCATGTGTCAAGTGACCATCGTAATGGACAGTGCGGGTATAGAACTTTCCATCCTTAACGGGAGCTTTATTGGGCAGCTCTCGGCTAGAGGTCAGGTTTCAGATCTTTAGACTCCTAAAGGCTCCTTGAGGCAGGAAGGACATGTGTTCCAATCTGACTTTTTGGTTCTTCCCCACTTCCAGGATATAACATCAATGCACAGAAATCAGTTGCATTTCTATACACTAACAATGAGATAGAAGAGAGATAAATTAAGGAATTGATTCCATTTACAATTGCACCCAAAACCATAAGATACCTAGGAATAAACCTAACCAAAGAGGCAAAGTTTCTATACTTAGAAAACTATAGAACACTCATGAAAGAAATTGAGGAAGACACAAAGAAATGGAAAAATGTTCCATGCTCATGGATTAGAAGAACAAATATTGTTAAAATGTCTATGCTACCTAGAGCAAGATATCCATTCATTGCAATCTCTATCAAAATACCATCAACTTATTTCATAAAGTTGGAACAAATAATCCTAAAATTTGTATGGAACCAGAAAAGACCCCAAATAGCCAAAGGAATGTTGAAAAAGAAAATGAAAACTGGTGGCATCACAATTCTGGACTCCAAGCTCTATTATAAAGCTGTAATTTTCAAGACAGTACTGGCACAGAGGCAGACACATAACAATGGAACAGAGTAGAGAACCCAGAAATGGACCCTCAACTCTGTGGTCAACTAATCTTCAACAAAGCAGGAAAGAAGATATAATGGAAAAAGTCTCTTCAACAATCAGTGTTGAGAAAATTAGCCACATGCAGAAGAATGAAACTGGACCATACCTTCACACCACACACAAAAACAGATTCATAATGGATGAAAGACTCAAATGTTAAATAGAAATCCATCAAAACCCTAGAGGAGAACGCAGGAAGCAACTTTTGTGACCTCAGCCGCAGTAACTTCTTACTAGATATGTTTCCAAAGGCAAGAAATGAACTATTAAGACTCCATCAGATAAAAAGCTTTTGCACAGCAAAGGAAACAGTCGACAAAACCAAAGACAATGGACAGAACGGGAGTAGGTGTTTGCTAATGACATATCAGATAAAGGGCAAGTATACAAAATCTAGGAAAACAGTGTGGAGGTTCCTCAAAAAGTTGAAAATAGAGCTACCCTATGACCCAGCAATTGCACTACTAAGTATTTACCCCAAAGATACAAATGTAGTGATCTGAAGGGGCACCTGCACCCCAATGTTTATAGCAGCCATGTCCACAATAGCCAAACTGTGGAAAGAGCCCAGATGTTCATCGACAGATGAATGGATAGAGAAGATGTGAGATATATACATATATATATGTACACACACACAATGGAATATTACTCAGCCATCAAAAAAATGAAGTCTTGCCATTTGCAAAGACATGGATGGAACTAGAGGGTATTATGCTCAGCGAAATAAGTCAATCAGAGAAAGACAATTATCATATGATCTCAATCATATGTGGAATTTAAGAAACAAAACAGAGGATCATAGGGGAAGGGAGGAAAAAATAAAACAAGAGGAAATCAGAGAGGGGGACAAACTGTAAGAGACTCTTAATCATAGGAAACAAACAGGGCTGCTGGAGGGGGAGTGGAGGGGATGGGAGTAAGGAGGGCACGTGGTGTGATGAGCACTGGGTGTTATATAAGACTCATGAATCACTGAGCTCTACCTCTGAAACCAATAATACATTATACACTAATTAATTGAATTTGAACAAAAAAAAATAATGCAATTTAAAAAAGGGGGGGGAGTCCTTTCTCACTTCTCCCAAGGCCAGACAGCATATGAAGCAGTATCCTCTTGAAAAACAGAGAATGGCAAAGTCCGTGATAATACAAAACCTCAGGAAAGGAAAATTTTCTGAAACCACATTTCTGAGGTTAACTGAGTTTCGAGGTCAACAGACAATAGAGCATGCCCACACTTTCCTGTAGCATCTGTCATCGTCTGTCAAGCCCACAGCCATTCTTTGGATCTGGAATCACAGAGCTGGGACAATCTTAGAGCTGGAAAGGTTTTCAATTTAAGCAATACCCTTTTATCTTTAAAGCCTCATTTATATGGATGAAGGAGAGGCCCTGATCACACAGAGGATCCTCCCTCACAATCCCCAGAGTTTCCAGGACACTGAGAACCATAAAAGTTCTTAAAAATCCTTTCAACTCCCCCTGATATCTCAAATCAAGCAGGATTTCATAGGCTGGCCTGTCTGGCGCCTACCTGGGATCATGCGTGTGGACGTTACAGCGATGCCAGGACCAGCCCAGGGTGACCCGGCAGGCTAAAACTCAAACACTCTCGGGACACACCAAGCAAGGCACAAAGGGACTAGGACTGGGCCATGCTGGAAGAACTATTTCAAAGCTCTGTCCTATAGTGCTAAGTCCAAAGCGAGCCCAAATCCCCCAGGGAAAGCCACTGGACCTGTCAGCCAAAGGACGGGCACCGTCTTGACACATTCAGCACTGCAGGTGACACCACTTTTCCCAATTCCCATCAGTGGCTCAGCTTTTGAAAGGGGAAGTCGTCTATTTCCAGCTATGAGTGACCAGTTTCCTATGGATCTGCCCTCTGCCCGCCTGTAACCAAGGCAAGTAGTACAAAACTACACCTGCTTGAAGACAGCCTCCCCGCTGCCCGGCGTGGCGTGTGGCTGGGGCTGGGACAGCGTCCCTAAGCTGACTTCAGCCACACCGGGAACGACAACGGGGCAGGGCATCAGGCGCTCGTTGCTGACACACACAGAGATGCCAATACGCAAATACTGACAACGCGTGTCTGCAGTTCAGAGGCCACAAGCACACGTCCCCAGCCGGCTAGGGAACCACACCTCCACCAGCCACCCCCAGAGCAGCAGCCCCCAGAAGAGGGCTTCTTCCCGTTCAGGCAGTTTCCCATCTGATCCTCGTTACCTCGAGAGAAGTAGCAGAGCTCTCTACTAACCTGTAGATACTTGAGATGCTACAGCTGGTTAGAGAGACTCTAGAAGCCACCATCTGCCAAGGCCCAGCGCTAGGCTCCTCCCCAGTTACCTACTGCCTTCCTCAGAAGAGAGCCTCCCTCTGGGCTCCCGTGATAGCACCTCCCACCCGCTGAACGCTAACTCTTCGTCAGGCACCGTCCTAGGCATTTTGTGCAGCTCCATTGCTTACAGCTACCTTCTAGGGAGGTTTTATATCAACATTACAGATGGAAAAAGTGAGGCTCAGAGAGGTTAAGTGACTTAAGGCCACACAGCTACCAAGGGGATGGAACAGAGATTCAAAGGCCCATCCATTAGCCCCCAAACTCTCTGGATGAAACTACTGCAAACCGGGACAGTTTCCCACCCCGAGGCTACAGGATGAAGAAAAGTACCTCATTGCCACGTTGCTGCCGTCGATCACTATGGGTCGCAAGGAACCGGCTGGGCCTCCGCAGTCGTCTTCCAGCTCTGCCGCCAGCCCACGCTGGGCAGGGTGCAGGGTGGCGCAGGAGCCCCTGGGAACGAGCAGGGGCGCAGCGCTGCCCTCCTGGGCCCCGGGGCGACTGCCGGTCTGGATCAGCTCCTGCAGCACATCATTGACCAGGGCGCCCTCACCCAGTTTGCCCAGCACCCTGACCACATCCTCCCGGCTGTAGCCCAGCTTCTGGAAGAACTCCATCTTGCTTGAGCGCTCCATGCTGTGCCAGCTGGGCCCCTGGCGAAGGTCGGGCCCCCGTTTCCTTCTGGCAGAGCCACGCCGGCATAAGCTAAAGAGAAAAAGCATCCATCAGGTGTTTTCTGAGCAGCCTGGCCTGGAGGCTGTCGGGTTACTGAGGGCGAGGGCAAATTATGCTTGCTCCCTCCCCGCCTTATCTGTCAGGAAATCATGTTGCCTGGTCCCCTTGGGGATTTTCAGTTGCTCAGTGTGGTTGGGGAGCCACAGATGCAATCGTGCTGCTTTTACTAGTGCGCTTTCCGAGGGCTTCACCCCACACATGTGCCCCTGCAGGGATCCACTGGCCAGAGGTGCCGAGGCCAGCCGAGCAGGTCACCCAGTACTTGGAACATTTGCACAAAGGCAGAGAAATGTTTCTGAGGCTCTGTCACCGACTGAATCGTGCCTCTACCCCCCAGATTCATACGTAGAAGCCCAATCTCCCAGGACCTCAGAATGTGACTGCATTTGTAGATAGGGTCTTTGTTAAAGAGTTGATTAAGTTAAAATGAGGTCATTAGGACAATCCCTGGTCCAATATGACTAGTGTCCTTATAAGAAGAGGAGATTTGGGGGGTGCCCAGGTGGCTCAGCCAGTTAAACATCCAGCTCTCAGTTCCAGTTCAGGTCATGATCTCAGGGTCCTGAGATTGAGCCCTATGTTGGAGTCCACACTCAGTGGGGAGCCTGCCTCCCCCTCTCTCTCCCTCTACCCCTCCCCCTACTTGTACACTCTTACGTGCTCTGAAATAAATCTTTAAAAAAAAGAATCATGAAATTATATTTACTGTGGAAAAAAATGAAACAATGCCCAAGTATAAAGAATAAAAAGATGTAATGTCTCTTCGTACAAACCCCAAATCCCACTTGCCTCTCCTGCTATTTGTTTGTATCCTTCTAGTGCTCTTCCTACCTCTTGACTTGTGTAGCCAACAGATACCCACATATATTGTCTTAGCGGGATTGTTTTTATATCTCTTTCTTTTTTTTTAATTTTTTTTTATGATAGTCACACAGAGAGAAAGAGAGAGGCAGAGACACAGGCAGAGGGAGAAGCAGGCTCCATGCACCGGGAGCCCGACGTGGGATTCGATCCCGGGTCTCCAGGATCGAGCCCTGGGCCAAAGGCAGGCGCCAAACCGCTGCGCCACCCAGGGATCCCGCGGGATTGTTTTTAGATAAATAGTATCAAACTGTATGATTGTTCAGCAACTTGCTTTTCTTATTAAAAATGCATTTGGGAGGGACACCTGGGTGGCTCAGCGGTTGAGCGTCTACCTTGGGCTCAGGTTGTGATTCTGGAGTCCCAGGATCGAGTCCCACGTCGGGTTCCCCACATGGAGCCTGCTTCTCTCTCTGCCTGTGTCTCTGCCTGTCTCCCTCTCTCCATGTCTCTCATGAATAAATAAATAAATCTTTTTTTAAAAATGCATTTGGGAAATTTTCCCATGCCATTTATCTGTTCCGCTGCCCGCTTCATCCCCAGCATCCAGAGCAGTGCTCGGCCCAGCTGAATCTCTATGCGGACTTGCTGAGTGAACAGTGGCGTGGAAGCAGGCGCCTGACGACGGAAGCGCAGCTTGCCTTCCACTGCTCCCTGTTACAGATCAGGCTCGAGGGACACTCGCGCACACCCAGCTCGTCGCCCGCCCTCCTCTCAGTAGGACAAGTGTCTGTCTCCCCTCCCTAGTCTCCTGCTGGCATCCTCTGCAGCACCCACATCTTCCCACCAGGCTCTCAGCGGGGCCCCCGTTCTCTGCAGGGCCAGCCCCCCCCCCCCGAGGCTGGAACCCCAACTGAACCAACCATGACTGGCTCTGGCAGGAGAAGGGATTTCACAGCCAGTCTCCCGGACAGAGCGGCCCTGCTGCTGTCTCCCCTTGTCGCCCCCACTCCACCTCGGCTCAGTGACTGCCCCCCAAGCCCACCAGTGACCTCCTCAAACCCAACAGCAGCGTCACACGCCTTGCCTCATACAACCTCTCTGCTGCTTTGCACACTGGGGACCACACCCTCACTTGTCATATTTTAAATTAAAAAGTTTTGGACTACTTCCTCTTGGAACTTTCCTCCCCGGGGTTATACAGCTTGGCCTGAGTCTTCTAGGTCTTTCCAGCTCTTTCCTTAGTCTCTGCTCATGTACTGGGGAAGGGGTCCACCCAGACCACCTGCTCTGCCCCTCATGCCCTCCCGCTGCCCCCACACCAGGGAGCCTACAGACTGCGCTTCCAGCCCAGACCTCGCTGAGCACCAGGCCCCCGCGGTTATAAATCTGTGCGGTAAATGGCCTGCGGCTGTTTGAATGAAGTGCTGTGGGGACTTGGAATGCTGCCATCGGCCAAATATTAGACGACATGTCGTGTGATATCGCGACAGCGCCAAGGCAGGAGCCTGTATGCAAACCCAACTGTCTTCTGTTAAAACCACACATTAGAGATTTGCAAAATATAAATCAGTGCCAGTCTTCTTACAAATTTTCTGGTTTGGGACAATAAAGTTATTGTTCGGAAAAATACATCATTTGTATTAACGTAATAATAATGTTTATTATTGTTTAAGGTAAAGGAATATTTTTTCACCTCTTAATTTTAGTTTCTAATAAGGTACATTGTGGGCAGCATGGGTGGCTCAGCAGTTTAGCGCCTGCCTTTGGCCCGGGGTGTGATCCTGGAGTCCTGGGATCGAGTCCCGCGTCAGGCTCCCTGCATGGAGCCTGCTTCTCCCTCTGCCTGTGTCTCTGCCTCTCTCTCTCTGTCTCTGTGTCTCTCTCATGAATAAATAAACAAAATCTTTAAAAAAATATAAAGTACATTGCAATGGATGCACATAACCCCATATAAACGAAAGCTCTTTGGCATCCTTAATAGTTATTAAAAGTGAAAAAGAGTTCTGAAACCAAAAGTTGCTTCTTAAATCCAGAGCTTTCCAGTAGGTACTTCCAAGAAGATGGTTCCATGTAGGTGACACATAGACATGTCACCCAGGGCCCCAGGACAGACGTGCAGGGTCTTTCCCTCCTTTAACCTGGACTCTCTCACATCGAGCTGCCCACCTGCCCTACCCACACCTTCTTCATCCCATACCCAACTCCCTGCCACAGCATCCTATGGGCTGTCCTCCGCCACCGCATCTGGCCCAGCCCCCATTTACAGCCAGCAGTACATTTCTAAAACAAGTCTGAGCACGTCAATCCCTTCCTTAGGGGTATCCTCAGACCCCGTGGTGACTACAAGACACCAAAATCCTGAGCAGCCTGCTGAGCCATCACCATGGAGTGCTGACCCTGATCTACCTCCCCTCCCACCATTGGCCTACCTGGCCCTTTCTTTTGAGCCTTGCTGAATCTCTCCCTGCTCCCAAGCATTCCAGAAGGTTCTCATCACTATGCTTCTGCTTACCTTTCCTCTACACCTGGAATGCTCTTTTTGGTTTGGCAAACTTCAAGATCCAGCTCAAATGCCACTCAGACTGGTCAACCCTGAGCCCACAAACAGAAGGAGTGGCGTGGTCCTCTATCTACCAGGCACTGCTCACAGCTCTGTTAGAACACGCTGATCTGTCCTTTATCTGTATCTCAAGAAACTGTGGGCTGCGTTCCTACCTATTTGCCCCAGCATCACCAGCACCTGGCACAGTGCTAGTATATTGGGAAGTTCAATATAGTTTACTTCACCTGATGTCCAAAGCTGAAAATAATCTTCCCTCCTCACGTATTTTTTTCTTGGCTTCCCATTTCATTGAACGGCGTCCCCCAGATCCCAAGAGAAAAAATCTCAAGATCACCTCTCACTCTTCCCTTTCCCTCCCTTCTACATCCAACTGGACAATTTCCCATACTACTTCCTGGACATTTCCCATAAGCACCCCCTCTCCTTTACACTCATAGTTCATTCATTCATGTAATAAACACTTCCTGATCACCTACTAGGCACCAGGCACTGTGCGGGGACCCAGTTCCATAAAAACTAATATATAGTCCAATTTCAACCTATTCACAACCAATCTGTGGGGAGGTGAGGGATCCTCACCGACTCCCACCCACCACAACACTAATCTAGCTAGTCCATGGACAAAGATTTCTGTCCTTCCATCCTGTACAGAGTAAATGTCACAACTCTTGAGCATGAGAGTCAAAGCCCTCTCCACCAGGCCTGGCCCACTCTCCAGTCCCCTTGGCCATGTTCTTCTAATCCAGCTTCACCTCCTGCTCCTTGACCAGTGACCAGTCCTTCTTCTCAAGACGGTGGCTCTCTCAGTCTGGGGTCCAGCTTTGGTCCAGTCTCCATGGAGGAAGAGGACATTCACCCAGCCCAGCAGGCCAGCCTCACACCAGGGGTTGCTCACTGTTCCTGAAAGACCCATGTGCTCTCGGGAGACCTGCAGACCTTCATTCAGGCTCTTCCTTCCTCTGCCTGGAGGCCTGCCCCTTCCTGCCCCAGGCCTGAACCCACTGTCACCCTGTCCTTCCCAGTCCTGCTGGTCTAGATACACCCCCACCTCCACCCCTCCCTGCTTGTGCATGCACAATAAGATGGCACTTATTTTGATTTGAAAGACAGAGGAGAAGGGAAGAGAGAGGAGGCATGGGAGAAAGAAAGAAAGAGGAAACGAAAGTGAGAGAGAAGGAAAAAGCAGAAAGGTTGGGACAGGCAGCATGAACACAGCAGTTTGTGTTCACAGAGCTCTTCAGTGTTTCAAGATCCCCTTGGTGTAGAGACTCTTCCCTGGTGGGTAGACAGTAGATCACAGTCTTCCCTTTTCACAGGTGAAGAAACTGAGGCTCAGAATGGCACAGGGCCAAGGTTACACAGTTAGCAGTGGCAGAGTGGCAAAGTAATGTGCTGCTTTGAGTTGTGTTCAAGATGGAGGTAACATCTTATTATTGCGGAAAAGAAAAAAACCAAAATACAGCTGGGCTAGGTGACTTCTCTTTAGTCACAAAGTAACAGCTGCAAGGAGAGTCCATGCTGATTTTATAACTTTGTGGTCCAGTATGATAGCATCAAAAACATTTTCAAAATGAAAAGACGTGGGGCTTTTTACCTGGGACGGGGCAATGAGAGTGGCCACATGAGGCCTTGTCCTCGGCAGCTCTCCACACAAGTTCCAAAAGAGCTCCTTTTCTTTTCTTTTCTTTTTCCTTTTTTTTTAAGATTTTTTTTAAAGTAATCAATATGGGGCTCGAACTCACAACCCCCAGATCAAGAGTAGCAACACTCCACCAACTGAGCCAGCCAGGTGCCCCCCAAAGAGCTCCTTTTTCTGAGGAGACTTTTGAAAGGTTATGCGTGGGACAGGAGAGCTGTTTTTACACAAAATCAACTGAAAGAATCCACCTACTTCACAGGCTTTCTTTTGCCCCTTGAGACTTTAAAATCAACTTCATTTCCTTTTAAAACTTCTAAATCAGAAACCTGAGGTGGGGGAGGCGGGGTCTGCCCTCCTCAGGCCACACAATCCGCCCCTTGAGATGCCCGGTCTTTGAGCTGCAGCATCGCCAGCAGCATCTTACCCCTTTCTATTTTTAAGTCCTGAAAGTTTGAACAATTTCATTTCAGGTTTCTTCCTCAAGCTTGACTGGAAGTCACCCACGGCACAGATGATTAGTGACACTTTGAAAATCTTCAGCCTCCTTGGCAGCTCTGACAGTGGCCGGCCTCGCCCGCACCTCCACAGGGAGCTAGAAGTGCTCCCTTCCATAGTATCCTTGGAGAGCCCAACCTCTGTGGGGGACTTTGTAAAAGGGCTACCTCATCTCTCCTGTCGCAAGTAAGAAAACTAAAGAAAACAGGTTTTGCCAACTTACCCGGGGTCCCGCAGCTAATGAATGGGAGGGACCAGTCTCCCAAGGGTGGTGATGCCTGCCACCGCCGGGCCCAGAGGGTGCTGCCCGGGGCTGCTCAGGGGGCCACAGGGCAAGGCGAGCGCAAGCATGGGCCCCAGGACGCCTGCATTCACCACATTGCCCCAGACCCTCGAATCCGTGCCTGTTCACCTCCACCAGCCCCAGAGCCATCCACCACATTGGGAGAGCCAGCAGTCATCGCCATGATGAGGAGAAAGTTCTCGTTAACATGGTCTGTGCAGTTTTCTCGCTCAGCTCAGATCAGTGGAGTTTGTCAGATTTTGGGGAAGTCACAGATAGGCAAAGACTTCAACCCACGAAATTTGTGTTTTTGGCCTCGCGTTTTTGGGGGATTTTTAAAGGGCATTATCATTTTTTTAAAATTGTGGTAATTTATCCACAACATAAAATTGCCCAGAGTCACGATCTTTACGAGTGCAGTTCAGTGGCATGAAGCAACCATCACCACCATCCATTTCCAGAACTTTTTCATCCTGTAAGACCGAAACCCTGTTCCCATGAGACACTGACACCCCGCCCTCTCTCCCCCCACTGTTCCCAGTAACCACACCGCTACTTTCCGCCTCTATGAGTTTGACGACTCTAGGTACCTTCTCGAAGGGTTATCATCCAGTATTTGTCCTTTCCTGACTGGCTTATTTCACTCAGCGTAATGTTTTCAAGGCTCACTCTGTTGCAAGCCTACATCAGAATTTTCTTCCTTTTTAAGGCTGAATAACTTTCCATTCTGTCTATAGACCACCTTTGGTTTATCGGTTCACCTGCTTTTGGACACTCGGGGTGCTGCCTCCTTTTGGCCACTGTCAATAGCGCTGCTGTGAGCATGGGTGGCCTGGCCTTTTGTTTTCTCCTTGAACGAGCGTCCTGCTCTTCTGTGCTGCTGTAGGTTACTTTAGATACACACACAAGTGTGTACACAGAAGCCCTGATTCATGCCCCAGGGCAGCTCTGAAACAAGTTTTTTAAAAACCACCCTCCACTATCTTCTACACCCAACCTATTCATGTGTCAAGTATTGGGGCTCCTGGGTTGGCTTCACCGGGCCTTGGAGAGGACTTCCTAATCCTGGAGGCATGGCTGAGGTTTCTAACGGCCACAGGAGATTACTCAAAATTGCCTGCAATTAAGATTTATTTGTCCTCGTGGGCCTTCTCAAAGCCCATAGAGCCGTCCTTTAGGAGAGACAGGGCTTGGGATCCAGTCCCACATCGGGCTCCCTGCATGGAGCCTGCTTCTCCCTCTGCCTGTGTCTCTGCCTCTCTCTCTCTCTCTCTCTCATGAATAAATAAATAAAATCTTTAAAAAAAAAAAAAAAGGAGAGACAGGGCTTGGGGCCACTGCCAAATATTCCTGATCTGCCAGGAAACTAGACACCTCCAAATCAGTATCTAGTCTACAAGATGCCTTTAAGAGTCTGGAGACAGGCTGAAAATGTTCCTGAGCATTCTAGACCTTCTGATTTCATAAAATTAAAATATCTCCAAAGATCACAGCAGGAGTTTTTACTTAAACCAAAGAGCTCCTCCAATTAATCCTTCTCCCAAGAAAGCCCTCATGAAATTAAACACAATTGTGCTAACATGAGCAAGGATTTCACCTAATTTTTTTTATCCGCGTACTGAAAATCACATAAGGCATGGGAAATCAAATTGCTCAGAATAATGCTAATCCAAGAACTGTTCTCCTACCTACCCCCCCCCCACATACTGCCTCCCCGTCCCATTATGTTCTGTCTCTCTCCTCCAGCCCTGGACCCAAGTCTTCAGGGGGCCTACGGGGGTCTTATGGATTGATGGCCAGGGGCAGGCACTTACCAGCAGGGCGTGTCCCTCCGGCCTCCGCAGTGGACACCAGGGCTCCTCCCCTCAGCGCCCCCAGCTCCCCTCGGCTGTCACACCGTTGCTCTGCTCCCAGTCAGCCAGGTGTCACCCAAGCTGGGGGAGCCACGCAGACATTAGGAGGGACTTCATGCCAAAGCTCTCCTTCTGGACGCCAGAGTCACGCTCAGCTGCCAAGGGAGTTTTGCTTTGAGTTTTTTTTTTTTTTTTTTTTTTTTTAAATAAAGGAAAAGAAGAAAGCAATCAAATGAGGGAGGTAGACTTGAAGCCTTCGCCCCAGCATGAGTCACCAAATCAAAGTTTAACAACCGCATGCAAAACAAACCCTCTGAGGGCATGGGCAGGCTGCACAGGAAAGCCAGGAAAGACTCAGAGAACAAAGGCGTTCAGAGTTTCCGTTCCAAGTTTCCACTCAGGCCTTTGGCCGAGGAGAGCACCTGATCCGAGGTGCTCCCGAGGGGGGTCGGTGCTTCTGACTTTACGAACAAAACTAAAGCATGCAAGAGCAAAACACGGGAGGGAGAGAAGGAAAGCCTACTAGCTAAGGGTGCCCAGGCGCATGGGCATGGAGGAGGACCCTGGCCCTTCTGTCAGAGTCCCAAACTAGTCACAGGAACCTTCGGGCTAGGGCCACTGGCCTCTGTAACAGGACGCTGAGCTGTCCTCACTGCAGCCCTGCATGGGGTGGGCGGCTGCTTCTGCCTCCGTGCCAGGGGGAGCCTGACTGCAGGCCCACCTACCAGGGCATCTGCAGCCTGCAGGGCACGGGCACCCCAGCCCGGACTCAGCATCTGTTTCCTGCGTCAGGGGATGCCTGATGGGGTCACGCTGGAGTCAGAGTGAGAGCAGAGAACAAAAACCACAAGCTGCCCACCAACCAGCAATGACAGTTCTCTAAAGTGACTTGCCCAAGGACACACAGTGGAGCCAGTTACTGGTCAAGCTGGGTCTAGAATCTGAGAGTTCAGGTGTGCCATGAATTGGCTGGTATGTGCTGCTTTTCTTAATTTTTCCCCCATCTGTCTCCTACAGAAAATGTGAGACAGTCTAGAATATTAAGCCACAGAGGGAATGGGATCATCGCAATGAAAGCACGATCAGAAATGATGAGGGGTGCCTGGGTGGCTCAGTCAGTTAAGCGTCTGCGTTCAGCTCAGGTCATGATCTTGGGGTCCTGGGATGGAGCCCCAAATCAGGTTCCCTGTTCAGCAGGAGTCGGCTTCTCCCTCTGCCCCTCCTCCCAACCCCCGCATGTGCTCACTCTTTCTCTCAGATAAATAAATAAAATCTTCAAAGAAAGAAAGAAATGATTAGAACAGGGGGGCTCTGTTCAGTCAGTGAAGCATCTGCCTTCGGCTCAGGTCATGATCCCAGAGTCTGGGATCGAGCCCTACCTTGGGCTCCCTGCTCAGTGGAGAGTCTGCTTCCTCTTCCCCCCCGCTCATGCTCTCTCCAAGGGTCTCTCTCTCTCTCAAACAAGCAAATGAGTAAAATAAATCTTTTTAAAAAATGATTAGAACAAAAAAGAACATGGTATTAGAATCTAGATTTAAAAAGTCACTTCAGGGCAGCCCGGGTGGCTCAGCAGTTTAGCGCCACCTTCAGCCCAGGGCGCGATCCTGGAGATCGGGGATCGAATCCCACGTCGGGCTCCCAGTGCATGGAGCCTGCTTCTCCCTCTGCCTGTGTCTCTGCCTCTCTCTCTTTCTCTCTCTGTGACTATCATAAATAAATAAAAATTAAAAAAAAAAGAAAACCTATGGTTTGTTTAGAGCCTCTGGCTGTAGCCAGTGCCTTCCATCAGTGTCCTAGCCCCACAACAGCTCAATGGCCTCAGAATTACTATTCCTGCTTTTGAGATAGGATAATAGGGGTGATAAAGGGTAACTAAACTGCTTGAGTTCGCTCAGCAAGTGGTTGGGTCAGGACCCAGAGTTCCAAAGTTCTCTCGCTACGTAGGCACATATGTAGCCTCTCAGCAACCAGATCCCAAATATAGCATGCAGGGTTTTCCAACCAAAGGAACGGAATTTCCTTCTATTAGATTTTAGGAGAAATCTAAATCCTTATGCTAAGTAACACATCCCAGGATATTTCCAGTTCAAGTCCTTTAGAAGCTCAGAGACGGGGGGGGGGGGGGGGGGGGGGCAGCAGATGTGATTCTCTGAGGAGCACACCTTGCTGTGCACTTAACACCAGCTCAGCCCCGGGCCAGGAACCTTAAAGATCCTGATTTGTGTTCAACCCCAGGTGAGTAGCCCTTCTGCATGGGAGAGGCCCCCCAGTGCCCAGCACAGCACCAAACAGTTCTACAAGAAAGACATTTGCACCTGCCCAACTAATCAGGTAAGTACTCGGCAGGGGTCCTAGAACCCTGGGTCTGAAATCTTGGAGACATTATTTAGATGAGAAAAATTGTGACTCCTCTGTCTGTATAAGAAAAGGACCACTGTATGGGGCCAGTTACAGTGTTGATCTCGAGGAACCTCGCTGATCCCCTCATAGCTAAAACCACCGAGTTGCCCTGACACCGAGGAGCCAAAGGGATTGAGCCACGATGTAGGCTACTTATTCCCAACCGAATGAGATGTAAGGTCTGCCAGAATAGTCTGACAATCTTTGTTAGGATATCACGGACCCCAAACGAGTCTCTGCCCAGGAGGGGTGTAAGGGAGGACAGCGGGCGGCCTTCCACTCACAGCCATGAGGGGCTTGGGCCTACACTCCCTGAAGCCCTTAGAACCCTGAGGAGGGCAGGGGGGCACACCTGGAGCACTTCCCTCTTCACTGGCTCCCACGGGCCTGGAATCTGCCCCGGGGCTATTTCTGCCCACTCTGGCCCCTGTGGTGAGACAGAGAGGAAGTGGGGGGGTGGACAGGGGATGCTAAGTGTGGGTGCAGGCCCTCCCCAGGGAGGAGCACACAAAGGAACGAATGTGCAGATGTCAGCCCTGGAGGCCCCGCTCTACCTATAGCGTCAGGGACCCCGAGCGCACCCTCTTGCTGCATCCTGGCCCCTTGGGTACCACTCGGCCGCTCCCCACCGACGCTTCAGCTCTTATTTCGTGTGTCCTCGCCAGCATATGGGAGGGCGAGACACGCTGCTCTTTGCCAGTCCGATGTGTGAGAAATGGTGTATCACCTCTCACGGTCCTACCTTTCACTTCCCTGGTGGTGAGCAAAGCTGGGGTCGCTTCATGTTGATGGGCCTTGCGATTTCCTCCTTTCCCTCCACGGCCCTTACAGATTTTGCTATCCAGCCTCACATAGTCTTCATGTTAACCCTGATCTTCCGTGCGTGCTGTAAACTATCTGCGCCCAGGCTACCACTTGTCTTTGGCTTTGCTTATGGTGTTAGGCAGATGTTTTGACTTTGGGGTACTCAGAATTATTGCCCTTTCTTCATCATTTGTGCCATTTGAATGTTGTTTGAGAAATCCTTCCCAGGGCACCTGGGTGGCTCAGTGGTTGAGTGTCTGCCTTCAGCTCAGGGCATGATCCCAGGGTCCTGGGATGGAGTCCCGCATTGGACTCCTGGCAGGGAACCTGCTTCTCCCTCTGCCTATGTCTCTGCCTCTCTCTGTGTCTCTCATGAATAAATAAATAAAACCTTAAAAGAAAAAAAAAGGAAATCCTTCCTTATCCTGAAATTGTAAATGTGTTTTCTCTGACCTTGTAACATTTTTTTATGATCAGGTCTTGAATCATGCATGATCTGGAATTCATTCTGAAGAATGGTATGAAAAAGGATCTAAGCTTATTAATCATAGTTTGGTGTCATAAACTCAGACTCTGACTGTCCTGCCACTTATTAGCTGTGTAAACTAAACAAAGGGTTTAATCTCTCTGTGCCTCAGTTCCCTCCTATGGGGATGGTAATCATATCTATCTCATGGGATATGATGAGAATGAAATTAATCCATGTATGCAAAGAGCTTAGAATAGTGCCCGGCATGTCTTAATTGCTCCATAGATGGCCATTACTATTTGGACCACAAATTTTAATGAAGATAGGATTACTAGGAGTTATTAATGGCAAAGCCTAGCACCCAGGAAAAGCTGAAACATTGTCACAGAGCTACAGAGACAAGTGGAACAATGCTCTCTATCCTCAATGGGAATGGGTACACCTACAATTTACACAGAAGCAAGCAGAGAAGCAGTTGTCATTGCTGACTGGCTTAGCCAATGATCTAAGTTAAAACAATTGTGCACTTACAACGATTTTTAGCAATTTTATTAAATATTATCTAGGCATCACTCCTCTGAGTTCCACCTGAGATGTGATGTTAACGGCAGGGATGAAGGCAATAAAGACTGTTAAGGACATCCCAATGCCATTTCACACCCTGCACCAGGCAGAGAACATAAGCACCAACTGAACAAAGTTTCTGCCTCTGACTGAGGAGAGGCATGACTGTAAACGAAGAAGTATGGTCATGTGGTAAATGTTAGACTAGGGCAGGGTTTCTCAGTCTTGTGCTACTGATGTTTGGGGCTGGAAAATCCTTTGCTGTGGGGACCTACCATCTTGTGCACTGGAGGGTGTTCAGCAGCTTCTGTGGCCTCCACTCACCAACAACCAGTAGCACAGCTCATCACATTGTGACAACTACAAATGTTCCCCAATATTGTCAAGTGTTCCTTTGGGGGCAAAAGTGGCCTTTGACAGAGACCACTGGACTAGAGGGTCCAGCGAGGAGGAAATTCCCATCCTTTGCCTCTGCACAGAGGAGGCTTCCTGGAGGAAATAAAGGCTCAGCTGGCTTCAGATGACACGCTGGAGTTTCCAGAAGTCTGGGTTCCCTGGGACATTCCAGGTGGAGGGAAAGTCTAGGCCCAGGCTCAGAGACATGAGGGAGCTTGGCAAGATCCAGATGGTTGGGACTCAACCTCAAGCTGAAGTAACTCACCTCAGTTTTTCAAAAACTTTGAAAACTTTTCCAAGAGGCATTTTAATTTTAAAAATAAAATTAACCAAATCACTAATGACTATGTTCTATCTTGCACGGGCCATTTTGTTGTCTTTTTAAGCAAAATGATTTTCATTTTTAGGCCATCATGAAGCTACCAGGTTGGGAAAACCAACGGTCTCAGAGTGCTCCAGGTTGAAAAACTAGGGCCATAAAAGTCATGGTCTGCCAGGGCACTCGCCAACTTCCTTTATTCCTTCTCCATCCTGGGCTGCT